CAAGCATAAATTGAAATAAAATGCCAACATTTTTTATCTTCTATTTTTTTTTTTAAGTAAATACGCAAAGAATTTTTTAACCAATACAACGATATATTTATTAAAGAATACAAAATCTTGTCAATAGCATAATGATTTTTATACATAATTAATGTAAACGGAAAACATTCTTCCATATTAGCTCTGAAGGTCATACTTACAATCATGATTAGCGCTAAAACTTATAATGTAAGAATTATACATTCATGTAAAAATTCAATTAATTAGTAAACAAATAAAAATACTTCAGCAAATGTTTTTTTAGTGTATTAAAGTGGCAGCACTATTTAGCTAACTTCTCCGGCCCACATCATTGTGGCTCCTCATGTGCTTAAGCTTTGATTATTTTAAGCTGGTTACGTGACCCAAAAAGGAGAGAAAACGCTGTGTTTAAGGTTTCCTGTGGCCGGGTATTTTAAATTGGAATATGTTGGTCGAAATTTGTAGCACGTTATGGATTCGGCACGGCATGTCCAATTGAATTAGAAATTTTATCGCATGCAATTCAGACACACACAAACCGTAACTCAAATGCATTTTAAACAGCACCACGCACCTTCTCTCTCTCTCTCTCTCTCTCTCTCTCTCTCTCTAACCTTCTCCCTCCAGCGCTCACTCTTTCTCTTGCTAGTGCCTTTGGCACTGGTTTTCATTGGGTCTGTTTCTTGTGGGCTTGTGATATGTGGAATTTCCTAGTGCATTTTTAAGCTGCAATTCGAACTTTAGCCTTACCTCGCACATTAGTTAACTCAACTGAATACGAAGAGGTTGAAGCTACCAAAACTTTGAGATTCCTATTCGTTTTATTACATTCTTACTCATCTGCAGTCTTTTTTGAATGAGAATGGTTTAATCAAAAATCATAAACACAAAGCGATCTGCCTATTTAATTGCTCGACTGTGCCTCTAATTCTGTCTTATATTAATAACACTAAGTGCTTCTCTCATCAATAACCACCACCCCTAATGATTGCTTATCGGCAGAGTTAACCGTGTGTTTGAGCTTCATTAAAAACGTATTTATGACGCAATGCGGAAGGTTTTAACGCTATGCGAGATCCCATCAAATATAACGCCATTAGGGCCTTTAAATAATGAAATTCCTCTGTATACAGTACAAACAAACTTCACGACGGTTGCCTTAGCTTTAATTCCACGAGCATATTCAATTCTCCAGAGTCGTCATATAAAACAGGCGCTTAGTTAAGCTGATAAAAGAACAGCATATGATGCGAGCCAATTGTCCTCTAAAAAAAGGTTATTGCTCCTTGTTTTTACTGTGCTGCAGCTGTCTGAAACACACTTTTGCTATATCCTCGCTTATTTGTACAATAGCTGGTGGACCTATCTCAAATCTTGCCAAAGGGACCTGCCGTCAATAGCTCCACAAAAGTTCAGTCTGCCGCATTGTCTTTATTTAATTATGCAAAATAAAGCCCAAACAGCAAAAACAGCCAAAATATAATTATTTATTTCGAATATGTATATTTGGCTCTTCTTTTTTGGAACGCACAAAACAAAATGCGACAAAACCATTGGCCTGCCCAAAAGAAATAGACTGCAAACCGCATTAAAAAGTCAAGAATTTCGTTACCAAAACCAGGACGATAAATGTGCACCCTGCACAGTGGGACAGTATCAAAAACAAAAATGCCAGAAAAGTTTATTTGGAGATTGGTACTGGTTATTGCTAATTTTAAATAAAATAAATAACATTTATTTTTTTCTAAAATGTTCGCTAAACTTTGTGAACAAGTAAATTAAAGAAGATTAAGACTGAAAATTCCAGTTCAAAATTTATAAGGTCAAAGCCACAGATGGTTTTCCAATGTAGGGTTTACATTTAAGATATCTTTAGTTTGCCCACTACTCACTTAGTTTGACCACTGTGAATGGGCTAAGCAAGCAACTCGGTTGCTAGCCAGTCAGCAGACCTCCACTTAAGTGTCCAGCTCAATAAAAGGGGCAGAAAAGGAGGGGATACAATGGAAACAGTGGCAGCAGCAGTAGAAGTAGTAGCAGCGGCACATAATCAAGTGGGGCGCTTTTTATTATTTTTATTCCCTTTTTTGTTTATTTGTGTGCGATGGGAGCGCACTAAATCGGATTACTGAGGAATTATTCTTGTTGGCATTTATTTTGGTTTTACCGAGCAGACACACACACACACACACACATATAAATACACATATATACGCAAACACAGACAGTGTCCTCTGGCAGTGTCTCAGCAGCAACTTGCTTGCTGATGCACAGCCTTAGAGACATTGTCCTGCCGCTCTGACCTCGTCCTTGGATTTCAGCAGTGCGACTACAAACGAAAAGAAAATGAAAATAAAAAATAAACATAAAAATAATGTCCAGTTTCCGTTTGCTTCTTAGAAGCTTTGTTCGCTTGTTTGCCAGTTGTTGTTGTTTCTGCTGTTGCTGTTGCTGTTGCTATTTTCTTTTCATTTACTTTCTATTTGTCAATTCATTTGAGCGTAATGAGCCTCAGGCTTGACTCGCGTGCGGCATTCTCATTTGACGCTCGAGGCATGTTTAAATAAACAACAACAATTGGCTCAATGTTAAAGTCGCAGCCTCGTCGCTGCCACGTTAATCTATTCACACCTCAAGCCTGGATTTGGCACAGTCAGCCAAAGGTGTCGAAGTGTGCGGTAAATTCTAACATTCGCCCCAAGCGGCACGTTCTCATTGTGAATGCTATGCGTTCCTCCGTCCACCACCCACCACCCACCACGCACCACCCATTACTCACAGCACTGTCCGCTGGCACATCCGCCACATCAAAAGGTAATCGACGACCGTCGTTGTGCGTGGCCTCGCAACGGTGGTGCAGTGGAGTATGGTTGTGGCTTGACTTTCACAACTAATTTACATACAGTTTCTAACGCCGTTACCTTTTTGGCCATGTGGATCGCATGGCGGGTTAGACGCACGTTTCGAGCGCCCAGAAACTCAAATTGGCTCTCTATTTGCAATGACTCTGGCTGATTAATGAGTCTTGACTACGCTTAGTAAGCGTTGGATTAATCTTTTTTAAGAGAACAATTGTTTTAGTATGAAACATTGACAAACACTTTACACATTCATATTAGCTTCACTTTCTCATATTAAATGGTTACTGGCAGGCACTATCATTCCAACTTTAATCAATCGATAGAGCCCCACATACCTTAAACTGCTCTGTTCTCGCTTTTAAATTCTACAACGCGTTGGAGTGTTATATTTGCCATCAGCTTTGCTAGCTAATGTTAAGGATTGATTAAGACGTATCTATTGTCGAACACATAGATGCCTGAGCACGTCATTCCAGTGCACTGGGGGTGTTTTGTTCTTTGCCTATGTGTGCACGCGTTCGTGATAAAATCACATCCAGAAACGTTAATCGCTCACTTTTATGAAGTGTAATAAATTTAACGTTCACGTTACCATCAATTTAACGCTGATGGCGGATAGAACTCAAATAGAAGCTTTTTAGTACGTACATATTTAATGCTTAGGTGAAAAGAAAAGTCGGAATGGGGTTTAGTTTATCTAAAAATATCTTTATTCATATTTGATTGGTACCCCATGTTTTTGTATTTGGTTTGTGTTTGTTATATATATATATATATATAATTGATATATATATATGTATATATGTTTCAGATTTTTTAGTTACAAATAACATGAATAAACATTTACTGAATTTGTATATGAATATCATATAACAATCACATTTAGTATATTTAATTTATATTAATTAATTTTTGCAATATATATATTTAAACAATCTTCACTGTGCTAAGAATACCAATTACTATATATATGTTATACTAGTAATTATTATTTCACATATGACTTTCTATCAACTGTTTTTATAAATATACATATAAATTTGTATTTTGGTGTTTGATTCATGCCTAAAATGGAATTTCCTTTTTAATAAATTACTAAATAATTAATAATAATAGTAATAAATAATTGCAATTGTCAAGTTTTTATTTTATTTTTTCATTTTAGCTGTTATAATATGTTAAATTCAAACTGTCTACAGTGCTAATTGAAGTTTCAATGTTTTATTTGCACCTTTTTATTGTTGGCTATTGAAATTGGGCCCATAAAATTGTGCGGTGCTCAACTTCATTTGATTATCTGATTTTTTGATTTGCAGCGCACATAGATTTCGATTGTTAAATGACTTGTGCTAATATTGAAATAATATTTACCGTTTTCTTTTGTGTCTTTAATTAATAATCCTTAAACATGCAACTCGAAAAAAACAAAGGTGACATGCTCGAGAGTGCTCGACTAATAAGTGCCCTGTGTTTTGTTTTAATTTTTCGAAAAATGAAGACAAGCTAAATCTATTTGGAATATGCAAGACGAACTTTGAAGGAGTTGAAAGAATATCACACTCAAGTCATTTATCGTTATATAAAAATGTTTTGGTTTTGAAAAAATGAGTAGGCATTAAAAACGTTTTAGAGTTTGGTTTACCTTTCTGTTAATATTATTCGCATATTTTTAAATGGTAAAGGGTAGCAAAAACACATAGCAAAAGTGTAGTATTAAATTAAAATTAAAAAAAAGTAATTCAGCGCATGCTTTTAATGAATTTATGAAACAACGCTAAGAAATATACTATAAACCAATTATTTTGTTGAATTTCGGCCTGGTAATCAATACGCTTGAATGGATTAAAATAGTGCTAGTGTGGATTACTGAATTGAAACTATTAAAGCGTAAAATGCAGTAAAGTTTATAAAATTAATTAAATACGAGCTCGAATTTTCAATGACTAAGTGCGTTAGACGTTAGACGTGCAATTCATTTAAATATATTTAATATATTGTAAGTTGTACTATTTAACTTGATTCTTATAGAAGTGATAAATTTAAAATTCACAAAATAAATTAATTTTTTAGTTTTATTTTCATTATTGGTCACATGTTTCTTGTTTTTAGGTACTGCACACAGTTCAACTTTGTTGTTGTCTTTAAAAATGAAACTAACAGAAACCTTAGAACATTTGTGCATTCACTAATGTATGTAGTGTCTAATTATAATTGTGTGTGTGTGTGTGTGTGTGTGTGCGTCTTTGTGAATTAACGACATATTGTTTTATTGCTTTTTGTTCTAACACATTCCCAGAGCCAGAGCCAGAGCCAATGCCAGGACCAGGTCTGGGACATGCCTTTAATTAAATTACCAAGCTAGTATCATGTGTGGCTACATCTACCTTTTTACTGCTCCCCTTGCTCAATGCCACCCTTATCTAATTTTAATGTTAACTCAACGGTATATTTAATGAATCATTTGTTTGCTAGCGCATTTCTATATGGTAAAACTCTATACAATTACTAAAATTTACAGTCCTAAATGGTCTTTTTGATAAATACAAGAAGAAAAATGTAACAAGTGTTATTGTATTTTCAGTTTCTTTTAATTAAAGTGCTTGAATATTCCAAACTATTACTGAAAACAAAAGGATAAAAACAATTCAATTCTATGACATATTGAACTGTGCTTTCAAATTGGATTAACATGTCTATAAATTTTGCTCTATTACCAGACTCAGGAGCAATTACATTTAATAGTATAATATTGTATATGCAGCATTAACTTTGATTATACACAACTTTCCTAAATGTATATGCACTCTATATGTGTTTAAATTGGTTTTGTGTGTAGACTCCTTTGATCTTTAATTACAATTCTAAATGACTTGTTGTACACTTAGGCTCTAACATATTTGTGTTTAGTTTTTTATAGGCTTGACTTAAACACTAGTAATTGATATAAGTAGAATGTGTGTTGTGTGTGTGTGTGTGTGTGTGTGTAATACTTGTGGTTGCCGGTGCTTATGTATGACATTAAAATTAAACAATTTCGGCCTCCTCTCAGAGATAATTTGGGCGGGACACGCAGCAAAGCAGGCTCATGTTCTTGCATATATAATTCTGGCGTCGTTTTGCTGGCCAAGTACCATTTGTATCCAGGGCTGCGTTGCGTTCTAGAATATTTTGTTAAAGATTCGCACGTTTAGTGTTTGATTAATGAATATGTGACTGAAATGTGAATACATAACAACTATGTAGTTGTTGGCAAGTTTGCTTTGCACTTTTTTTTTGTTGGCTGCCTTATGCTTTTGAATTTTGATGTGGCCTCCAGCAAGACCTTGACTTGAAATATCAAAGTGAAAAGTGCAACTCACCCAAATATGCCTCGTGCTGTGGCATATACTCCTGCATCTCGGAAAGCAGCATGGCAATGTCCTGCGAATCCTTTGTGATGCTACATAATTCCTCCTCATTGAAATCCGGCGTTATTTGCTTACACAACAGTATTTGACTTATAACATTGCCCAGATTCGAGGGACCAGCTCGATTCTCTGCAAAAAGGAAACAGAAAATTTCCACATAAATCTCTCGACGTTAAGCAAAAAGTCAAGCATGTCCTTACTAACTGCAATTGGCCACAAAATTAAAGACAAACAAAATGGCCAACACTCAACATCCACAATTTCTATGTGGCCCTTTGTGCAGTTTTCCAATGAAATATATTATTTCTGTTTATAGAATTTTTGGTACTGACTACATCCCACAAAAAAAATATTTTATAATTTACGAGTATTTTTTGCCACAGTGTTATGCAAAGAATTTTCTTCCTGCTTGTGCCCCTGTATATGAGTATTTTTTTTGTGCTTCATTAGCTTTGCTCTTATTTCACCCAGTTTCCATGGAAACATGGCTATAACGTTTTGCGTCCGCTTTGAAGTTTGCTTCACCAACTGGTGAACTTTCTAACTGACCGATGTTAAATAAACTTTTGACTTAAAATGTGGCTATGACAATTTAATGGCTTCATTGATTTTATTTCAGGTCAACAAAAAAAGTGATATTTATCATAATGATACTTAAGATATTTGAAATGAAATGTCACATTAGAGGGGAAAGTATTTGAACATAGCTCTTGATATTTTTTGACATTAAATGCTAATATTTAAATCAGCTTACTACTCGCCGCACTCTGCCAATGCTGGTTGAACAATCAATTTCGATACTCATTAATCTTCATCCGAATGGCTACAAAAAGAATTAATTACATTATTCAACATCTAAAAGGTTTTTGATTTTTTTTTGCATGGTTGGATTGCAATTTATTTCATTATTCAACTCGACTCGACGTGTACGCAATTTACATGTCCACGTAAATATTGCAGGAATTGAAATTTTTGATTTATGAGAACTACATATTTCGCTGGCAGTGCACATTTTAAAAAGTAAACCACAAAAGCCATCCCCCCCACACCCCATTCCTACTATATTGAATCAGGAAACCTATTCTTGCAAAATATTACGCCAATCTACAACCTCAGGTTCATTCCCCATCGCACTTACAACAGAAACCCAATTTTATTTCAAAATTACGCACTGTTGCATTTTTTATGGCATTTTCATTGCAGTTCGCTTAATTTTTGGGCACACATCATATAAATGCATTGGCCGTGCTTGCCATAAATGTGTTGCACAGCTGCACGAAAACCACAAGGCCACCACCCAGCACCACCCAGCACCACCCGCGTAGCTGAGGGCTTGAGAGTGCAAGTCATTGTAAATATTTGTGTTTCGTTTTCTATGTGGACAGCTTGCGTTAATCGAATAAAGGCGGAGTCGTAATTAAAAAATGTATGGTCAACAAATCTGCGTTTTGATATTATGGAAGTGCAATTCGAATGCGTATCCAACGGGTCAATCAGTCAAGGCCAAAGCAAAGAGCAGCAACTATGCACGTACAGCATTCAAAATGGCAAATGAATGTTGGCAATCAGAACTCGTACACTCAAGCGGAATCCAACTACCAAATGGCAAACAATGGCTATAAGCACTTGCAGCCTTTGCTCTGAATTGTAATGACAAACACACAGAGAACACTCACACTCACAGCACACACCCACATATCCACACGCACATATACACTCGCTTTAAAGGTTTGGCTTTAGGTGAAATCAGCTTACCATAATAGCCAGACATATCCATCGGCACAACTTGAATAAGTCGATAGCTTTTCACAAGTTCACGTATAAAGAGCTGAGCCATATAGAAGAGCAACACCAGGTGCGGATTGTCGGTGAGTATGCCATCGGCCAGTGAGCTGAAAAATACAAGTAAAATGCATAGGCAACAAATAAATCCATGGGTTCCAACCAGTATGGCAATGCTGCAATGCTGTATGGCAATGTGGATGTGTGTTTGTCTGTGTTTTTGTGACACGCTGAATTGCATGCGGATGTTGCGATTTGAAATCTATACGAATTTTATGACATTTTTGTTATTCGGGTCACACAATGATGGTTGTTCAAATAAATTCATTGGGGCATGTTTTAATGCCGTTGTCAATAGCTGTTGAAATCTCAACAGCTATCGTTATGTTGGAGTTTTGTCAATGTTGTCTCTAGAAATATAAAATATATGTGCGGGTATATGCTTGAAAAACACTTCTACTAAGGCAACCAAAATAATTCAATTCAATTTATTCTGTTTCAGCATTTACATGACGTCAAGCTGATTCTTTTTCCGCATTATTGAAATTGTATCTAATAATTCCCAGGCAATATACAATTAAATGGCTAATATTTTAATTTTATAAGCATAATCGGTGCAAATCATTTATATTGCACTTAAACTCCAATTATGCCGCAGATTTAGCTCTGGAGCACATTAATTTGCTGCTTGGCATGCGCCCCATAATTCAAGAAATGTTGGGAATTTACAACTGCTGTGAAAATTGGCCCGCTTAGTTTGAGCTGCGTCGCTGGCATAGCAATTATGAGGCGACATTCAACACATAAATACGATTTAAATTGCCATAAACATATTTGCAACAGCATGAAAATAAATTCAATTTGTTAAATTGCTTTTGCATTGCCTAACCCAGAGTAAGAGATAGACTCCAGGCGAAGTTACTAGCTAACGACTAAAACTTATGGTATGCAAAGGTCACATCTTGGATTTGCCAAAATTTTCAAATGCCCCTTACAGCCATACAAATTGTTATAGGGTATTAATACTTGGCTGGAAATGAAAAATATATTTTACCCAAATTACCAACTTGTCGGACAAGCAGTTCAGGTTGGCTGCTCAGTGCCTAATCCCTGAATTCTAGACCCCCACAAGCAGTAACGATAAACGTGGAAAGTGTTGCCGTGTCCTCAGCACAAATGTCCTCATGCCCATATTCCATGGTGGTGCCAACGTCAACACCCATTTTTACCATTAAAGCAAATAAATTGCAAATTAATCTTGCCTTAGGTGTCCCTGTTCATCTCTCACTGTATGTGTGTGTGTGTGTCCGTGTGTGTGTCTGTGTGTGTGTCTGTGTGTGAGTATGTGGGAGTGAGTGAATGTGTATCGCTGGGGCTAGTTAAAGCGAATTCAATTTGGTTCTGTTGCTCAGGGGAGGGCTGATTGTTTGGGACCAGTTTACTTAATGTGTGGCTAAGATCATAGAAATGCCATTGCTCAACATTTATGGGGTGAAGCATGTGTCACATTGAAGAGGGATAATTATGTGAGTTGGGCATTAATTGCGTGTTCCGGTGTTTCACAAGTTAATTATGCTCAACTAGGCCAAATCGATCACTCTATGTATTTACTCTACTAATGAATTCTTGATTAATTTGGTACGTTCTTAAATTAGCCCATATATTTTATATCATATCTTGTGTCTAGATTTGCTTGTTCATTAAATTAATTTGTTCGTGGACATGTTCACATGAATAAATTGTTAAAAATAATGTCCAAATAGATTTTCGTTTAAAATTTCGCTCAGATAATACAGTCTGACCTTCATTATTTATAATTTGTATTGTGCGCCTTCGGTTTGCTTTTCTGCAAGTAATATCTGACCATAAAGAGCAGATTCTAAGTTAAATTGCTGTTTTTCATAATTGTGCAGCATATGGCATTAAAAGAATAATTTTATGTCTGGAATAAGATTAAATTAATGAATTACGCTTTTCTTTCTCTGACTACAAGACGTTGAGAAGTAATATAAAATATTTTTTATGGTGTCCAGTTATTTTCTTTGAATAAAGAACTGTAGATCCATCCCTGTCTCTCTCTCTCTCTCTCTTTCTCTCCCTCTCTCTCTCTCTCCCTCTCTTTATATCTGTCCCCGTCGGTTTCCGCCTGCTGCTTATTGCTGAGCACATTAGCGGGGGTCATTTTCAGCAACAGAAGCGCATTAATAAGTTTAAAAAAAGTATATTATTTTATTTTTAGACTGTCGAAGATTATATACCCTAGAAAAGTATTTAATTTAAGTTTGCGTGTCAACTATTTTATTTTGAGCTGTGTAAACAGTCGAATAAAGCTTGTTATTATGGAATCCATTGTAAAATATTATTATTGAAATAAAGAAATTAAATTTTGTTGTTCTTCAAAACTCTAATAATTGATTAATAGTTACAGTAAAATATGATGTTGAATATCAATATACTGCTGAAATTTGTATATATTTTAACCTTTTACCTTAAAAGTGTATAATTATATTTGCTTTAAAAAATGCAAGACATTTTAGATGTCAAAAGTGAAAATACTCTTTTGCAAAAGAATATAAATGGCAACGAGCGAAATCTGCAAAACATCCAAACCCAAACGAAAATCCCAAAGAGCAAAAAATAAAAGGAAATCAGCTACAAAATGGTAGCTGGAGCCGGAGATTGTCAGCAGCTGCTGTTGATTACAGTTTTGGACATTACTTTCATTTATTGCGAATAACATTGAAGTATTTTTTATTATACTGCGCTAGCCCCAAACATAACGTGATATTTTTGCTTGGGTCGCAAGCGCTAAAGAAAATGGCAAGCAGCAAAAACAAAAATTGCACAATTATGCGTCGAGACGGGACTGAGAATGAAACGGGAATTCGGTAAATGCGTTTAGTGTTCGAGTCCTCAACACGATATATCGTCAGACAGATCGAAGTTATTAAATGCAGCTGTGGTGGGGTTGTAGGGCGCTTGATGGTTTATGACACTCGTTAAAATGTAGAGTATCTGGCTACGTGACAGCACCAATCAATAGCAGTTATCTGAATAATCTGCTGTCACAACCACACTGTCCCTAGAAAATCGGACATCGCGTGTCGAAATAACAAATAAAATTGCTGTTGAAATAAGTACAAATAATCGAGAGAACACTTTTTGACTTTGAGATACCCTAAGCTTAGATTAAAAGCAGTTTTACTAATACTAGCTGTATTAGCTTTCATTGATTTTCTGTATACATTTTACCAATACAAACTTGAACAGTACGTTAAGTGAAACTACAGTTGCAAGACAACAGTTGACAGTAAAAATGAAATTTCCGTTATAAGTAACAATGTACTATTGTATTATACGTGCAGAGTCTGACAGGCATTTGTCATCGATGTGGTCTGCAAGACTTGATATTGTCTTTGCTTATATCCCGTGTGGAGTATTGGCAAGTATCATGGTTGGTCCTCGTTTGCAGTGCAGTGCAGTTTGCAGTCGTCAAGGACACATAGATAAGTTTGCTGAATGTTGTGACATTATTTGCTAAGGAAATGCGTTAAAGCCAACATGAAGCCAACATGTTGCTTGCTTCTGGCATTTTGATGACTAACTGGCTGTCAAAACAGAGAGCAACGATAAAAGCTAAAACAAAGGCAGCCAGCGACAGTAATTTAGCAAAAACAAACAGCTGCCGAACATAACTGTAAGGCAAACACAAATACGCAAATACACAACAACAGCAACAATAAACAACAACAAATTCTACTTGCGAAATGAACGCAGAATAACAAGAAATGAAACACGTATACGCAGCGTTGGACATTTGGATGCGTCGTATGTCTGTACGGCCGAGTAAACAAACATGCATACAACTATCAGTCACTTAAGGCAGTTGACCAAAGTGCTGTCTACTCAGGCATATATAGAGGAGCCCAGACGGCGGTGGGGCGATGGCGGAACATGAGAGAAGTTAGATGAGTGGAATATTGCTGGCATTGAAGTAACTACGTAGGTGGCTTGAGGTAAAAATAAACTTATTGCATGCTCGCCAAAGAGAAAGGTATTATAACTTTACCAGATTGTTTGCTCACGGATATGGGATAAATGGGAAAACTATTGTTACTTCAGATGTTGGAGCTTCTGAGAGAGCACATACACTGTACTTATACACTGTATTCAAATCAAAAATGCGTAAGATGTTAGGGTTACTAAGGAAAATTAAAAAACAACTTGATGTTTGCAAATTAATAAAATTATGATCTCAATTTAATTATGTGCATATAGGAAAATTATTTTGAAAATTTCGAAAATAAATTCCTTAAAATATATGTTGCAGTCTGTTTACTTTCGCAACTGCATGTAACTTAGATGCAGAATTGATTTAAATGAACTACCATGAATAAAAGGTAATGTATTTGGTATAAGGTATATATAAAATTCAAAGGTATTTGGGTATAAATGAATAAATTGGCGTTGTAAGAATGAGTTGGCGTTGAGCCAGTAAGTATCCGACTTGAATAAGTATGCAATATTCGTTGTGCCGAATAGAGCATTTCCTTCTTTTTCTTGTTGACTCTTATGACTCTGCGTGCCTCATATAGCGAGGCTTGTGTTTACAAAACATAAAAACAACAACGAAACACTGTCAGAAAGTTTTGTCTGTGTCATTGTCAAGTTGTGCTCAAAGTTTTTTTATACACATACATATACATACACACTCCCTCAGTTGGCCACTTTTCTGCCCTCCTTAACTTTCTCTCTTTGCTTTGGCAGCGCGCAGTTTTTGCTTTATTGAACTTTTACTTTCAACTTAACTTTGTGGCCTGGTGCTTTGATCTGCAGGCAATGTCGCTGCTGCCGCTTCTGTTAATTCTGTGACTGTGTAGCGCTGGGTGAATCGCTGAGAAGCGGTCTTCATTTATGCCGATAGAAAGCGAAAATTAATTGAAATCTTTTGTGTCAGTTTTAACAGCTTTTTTATTCGCTTTTGATTTTCTTTTATTTGTTTGCGTGGATCAGAGCCAGACCCAATCATCAATTTTAACTGCGAAAGTTGATTTTTTGTCAGTTCTTGCTGTCCTGCACTTTTTCCATATATACAACAACAGCAAGAGCAACAAATGATGAAATGCTGATACGAATGCTCATCTCGTCGTTATTTAAAGATTGACATTTCTGCTGTATTGCAATGACATTTTAAGGGTATGCTCGATAATAAATCAGACTCTCATAGGGTGTTCTTAAAAAGTTATACCCAAATAGCATACACACCAATGCATACTCAATTCCTTCCTCTTATTCACTCTCACGCACAACACTGACAGCATGTCCTACTGAGTTTGTGACTGAAATTACAAAAAATAAGGAGCAGAAAAGTTGTATGTATCGTGTATGAAATTTCTCTCAAGTTGTTTGTTAAAAAGTGTGTTTTTTTCAGTCATTCAGAATTGAGTTTTTGGTAGGGTGTGATAATGGCGCATGTGTGGCAGCCACATGGGAATTCATTTTGTAACATTTTATGCTTCAACGACAGCATAAATCAATAACTCGAAAACCGAAAGCAGGCATCGCTGAGTTTAATGGGGGAGCTTATCCACGATAAAATCGAAAAGCTGCCACTGATTACAGCTGGGACAGTGCGTAGGCAAGTTATGGATATTTAATTTAGACTTAAGTGTAATGCACAAAACTTTTGATATTAAAACTAGAAAATCTCATATATAATAACTCTAATAGCTTAACCCTCGTACTGCATTTGAATATTGAAACACGATTTTCACTCGAAATTCATGTGCAAATTTGAGCTCCAAAAATGGCTTTTAGGGAGGAGAAACCAATTTTCCGGTGCCAAATTTATTTTAAAACGGTTTTTAAATTGACACCATTTTGAAATATATGTATTTCCTGCTTATTGCTGCACTTAAAACACTTTTCTACGCTTTTATTATTCTTCAATTAACCTTGAAGCAGCTTCCTTGAAACTCAACCTGAGTTGTTCTTCAATTTTATTGTTTGATTTATATTTACCTTACTCTTTTCCCAGATAAAGAACTACACACACAGTCACATAAATTGGCTCAACAACAGTTTTTATGAAAGAAATTTCATGTGTGTACGGCTTTGCCCGCATATTGTTTTATACAAAATGTTATTAACTTTTAATTCCGTGCCCGTGGCCCACGGCAACTGTCCAAAAAGTTAAACCCAAACCCGACAAAACACATGCTGCTAAATTATGCAGCATTTGAAATTGAATTTCAAACTCAAACGCCAACCAGCACTAACTCATTTCAGGAGCTCGAGATGACTCGAATTTGATGTTGGAGTCGGAGGCACTCTGCACACACACGACAGTGACTGCAGGACTCCAACAGCGACAAATGGTTGTTTAAGTTATGCTTTTTGCTTGTTGTGGGTACTTTTCTGCGGGTTGCCCCACTTGTAAATTTGACTGCAATTAAATTTGCATACATTTTCAAAAAATGTACGACTTTGAAAGCTTTTACAACAAAACATTGTGTGATAGATTATATGAGTGTGCTGCAGCAAAATACCCTGTAATCATATTATTATTGATGTGCTTGTCTAACTGAATTTTCCTACATGATAATTAACTTAAGTGGCAGCTGGGCGAAAATTTAAAACTAAAATATACTTTAACTGAATTACTAACTTAGCGGAAAAAGGCAGACTGGCAAAATGACAATCAAACCTTTATTTAAACTGGATCGATTGAGATCATTGATACCCTCCAAGGCCGTCTCAATGCGTACACGGTATTGAAATGTGAGCCGTAAAATGTCACGCACATGTTGATATTTATGTTTATGTTAATGCGATGCGTGTGGCTCCAAACTTGTATGGAAAATGGCTTTTTTGTTGTTGGAATGGGTTGGTATGGAATATGGTATGGACTGATATGTCTATGGCGCTTTGCTTACCTCTTGACCTGTGGCACGAGTATCTGTGCGGTGTGCTTGAATGCCTCCACACAGGTGCGTCGCAATTTGCGTATCTTTTCGCGCAGCTCCGGACAGTCCTTGGCCTGGCCGATATGTATCAGCATGTCGCGAAAGAGTGCCACATGGCTGTTGATCTCCACGATGAGCTGCAAGTGCAAGGCAAATGATTTAATTTATGCCAGCATCAGTTCAGGTCAGAGGCATCTTAGTACACAATTCATATTTAATTTATGCTGAGCCCTATATTGGCCCGTACAAATTACACATTATTCAGTTTAATTTATGCACAGAAGCAGCAAACAGACCCGCAGCAACACCGAACCACAGGCGAAACCATATTTTTGGGCTATTTTCTGAAACGAGCTTCTTTTGCTGTTGTTTTGTTGTTTGGCTTGGTCGTCTTTCCTTTTTACGGCTCATTTGACAGCTTTGGGCCGATGGTGGAAAATGAATCGAGCAATCGGGCCTAATTTTCTTCCCTGTGGCTAAATTGAGCACATAAAAATTAAAATGCACGACATTGCAAAGTAGTTAAAGCGAAAGGATGTAGCTCTTCTCTTAGCTTGGCTCATCTCATGTTTATATACCCTAAGGGTTGGAAAGCATTTATACGCATTGACTTATTCCGAACAGTCGAAAGTATCCATAAATGTGTTTATCATCATTTAGTACTCGAACACAACGCGGGAGAGTGAGTAATAACTTTTGTGTAATCAAACTGAACTTATTTGAATCGTCTAAAATCATTTATTTTACTTTCCCCTTTAAAGCGGCTTACTTGCATTTATTTTTGTTGTCTTCCTATTCTAATCTTGCATAACGTTTATTATGTGACCATTGGCTATCTCATATATCATATAACTATCATATAACAGTTCATTGATAACATTTATTTATAGTCTTTTTATTTTCCCAAGCTTCATTGTATTCTAGTCTCTGTATTGCAGCCATACAACTCAAACATTTCTTTTAAGTCTTTCATAGCTGAGTTAATACTGCATTCACAGGCTACTTGAACAATCAAAGTCATCAATTTAATAAATAATTGTCTAAAAATCAAATTAATTATCCAACGATTTCTGAAACTTAAAGAGCATTTCCTTCGTTGTTAAACAAACCAATTTTTCGTGATTTTTGTCTTATTTTATTCATTATTGCTTCGGCTTGCCTTTGGCTATTTATTTCGCTGCTTTGGAGTATTTTTAGCGAAACAAGAGATTAATTTGGCAATCATTTTTCAGACAAATCAACTTAGGTACGCCACGCATATATGTATATAAGTATATTTGAGTATATATACATGTTTGCAGGGGCCACGCCCACTCGCAAATGAGCCAACAGTATGCTCAAATATTTATGACTGACTCTACCAGCAGCAACAACAATAACAACCATAAATATATTCACCAGCCCCCACACACACACACCAGCCATTTCATTTAAAACGCGGCGTATGCGTAATTTTAATAATCCTCCAACGGCTGACGCCGCTGGCGAATTCAAAGTGAATTTTGTGGCCTGACTCAATTTGAGCTGACAGCTGTGCGGTTGTTATACAGCTGAGGGGGAGACAGATAGAGCTTACAGCTTGCTATGAAATATATGCATGATTAGTCATATTGACAATGGAATGAAGGTGGGACGGAGGACGAACGTTGCACGGGCAGCAGCACTTAAGCAAATTGCTTATTAAAAGTACCAAGTTGTATGAAATATTCTAGGCGGAAAACTTTTTGCCAACTAGACACAATGGAGGCGTTACACTACAGTGTGTGTGTATATGCGTGCTAGAGGGCGTGGCACAACCATTGCTTTGTAGTCAATCAATGGCAAACATTTTGGTTGTGGATCGTCAGATGCTGCTGGGCTGTTACTGCTGCTTCTGCAACATTTTATTGCTTCTCATACTGGGCGTTTCTCCTGACTGTTGACATTTGGCAAAGCTGAGGCTCTAATTGCCAAAAGCTGCCTTAACGAAGTATTTTTAGAGCAGCCACCTAATACCAAACAAGTCCGCAGCAATTCATAAGCTGCTCGCAGATGAACAACAGCCGAGAAAGTAATTGACTAGAGAATACTCTGCTATCATAATTACTTTCCCGTTTTCTGAGCATACAGGACATCAGACTATATAGAATTCATCTCTTACACATACGAACTCACAATGAATTTGAATAACACTGTAAATTTATTCTCTGATTATCTAATATCTAATCTAAAATATATCAAAATTAGCCACAACTAAATTCGAAAAGGTTATTAAATACCAATGTCAGAACGGAAAAACTCTTTCAGCTTTACTGTACTCTTCTTGAGCACTTTTATGAATACAGGGTATAAAAACAAAGCATGGACTAACCCAGAAAAAACCACACACACCACACACACACAAACACACACACACACAAACACACACACACACAAACACACACACACACCACACACACTCACACATAAAAGCAACACACGCATAAATTTTATATGTGGCTTAAATCTCAGCTGAGATAAGGACGCAAACACATAGTGGCATGCAACACACATGCAAATCCCCAATGTAAACGACTGCGGCTCGCATAAAAAGGGACAGCACAGCCACTAAAGTAACACCGTTAAGCCAAAAGACAAGCCGGACCAAAAAAAAAACAGAATGAGAAAAAAAAACAGCAGCTTCGTGGCACATTTGTGAAATTACCTGGCTCGCAGCTATTCAGCAATTTGCAGAGCCCAGCGAGTTGCATACAATCCAGTCGGAAGAAGTGGTCAGAAAAATATAAAAAAAAGAAAACCAAGAGCTCAAATTGAATTCTCCAAGCGCCGTCCAATTTAATGCATACAGCTACCGCAAATAGTTTTGGTACTCAACGCATTTTCCTCATAATGGAAACTGGCGCTAAAAGAGATGTACGTGCTGTATAAGCTGCGGCCTGCATATTCATGCGCCCGTTATTCTTTCTTATTGTTCTAGTCTACTACAAGGACAACAGCATGAGCCACAAATACAACAACACAAGATCCTCAACATTTGCATCAACAGTTGAAGCGGAAAATTGAAAAACAGCTGCCGGCGTTTGTTCCTATTTTCTATGCAAAAACAAAAGCGAGTGGAAAATGAAAAAAAAAAGACAAAGAGCAAAATTGCACGTGTTCTTGTGTGACCAAAGGAAATCTCACTTATTCTAAAGTGTAAATCAGCAAATACATGAGCAATGCAATGCCCCAGACAAGGATGGGGCGACAACAGAGGGAGATGCCGCACTGAAGATGGCGATGCAAACAAATGCTGCATGTAGACAAAGTGAAAGCGGAAATTAAAATTGTAATGCAAAAAACAACGCATTGTGCCACAAGACGCAAAGCGAAGTGGATTGCATTTGTAATGAAGTAGATACGGATAGGGATGTGGAATATGGTTGCGAACTGTGAATGGCACAACACAAAATGGTTTAGATGCATTCACAATGCTTTTACATGCATATTTCACCCCCTGAAGACCGAGGCACTTTACAAAACAACAACAAACTGCCGTGTCTACAAAGTTAAGAATAGACAGCGTTTTCATTCCATCATGTTCTTAAAAACGTATTTAACTAAATTTCTTAAAAAAGATTAAAAAAATATGCTGTACAAAATGATTGTTATATGTTGCTTTCAATTGAAAGCGTTTCAGTGTACAACACACGGCACTGTCCAATTGCAATATATCAGATTTGGTGGCAAGGTTTGTACATAAATATTGTGTAGCATTTAGGAGTAAGGGGTGAACGCAAGTGGCAAGCAGCTGATAAAAGTAGCAGCTAATGCGTTTGGCATATCTGTTGATATGGTTGTATACATCACACAAATCCTTTCACACACACACACACTCACAGTTGTCAGGACGAAGGCTAACAAAGTGGTATGGCGAAATGCATTGCCAACAAGTTGAACTACGCCATAATTCCAATCGAACTGCCAGCCAGAAATACTGACAGCAGACAACTAGCCAACTGTCTATTCAACTAACTGGCAAGCGGCCTTCACGTGGACACTAGAGGTCCTTATAATGGCCAAGCCAAAGCTGAAAAGCGGCTTAAATGCAACAGAAACATTTACATTAACAGCAACAGCAACTGCAACAATACAAAAGTGCAATTGGCCACATGCTAGCAATACCAAATAGCGTGATTTGAGTGGGAGCGGATTTTTCTATTCAACAACTGTGTGTGCATGTGTGTGTGTGCATGTGTGTGTGTGCTTGTGTGTGTGTGCTTGTGTGTATATGTGTGTGAACGACTACAACAGCTGAGTTTTATGTTTTATGTTTCCCTGTAGGTCGTGTACTAGTCAGCCACATAATTCCACAGAAGGTCATTACGTATAGGCCAATTGGCAATTATACATCATGTACATGTCGCTCTCAATGATTTTATTGCCAAATATATTTTCTAAATGCATTGGGTATTGCAGTTCAGTCAGGCATGTTGTAACGTATATATAGTATTGTTTAAAGTAAAAATATGTATCCAGATATAAGTGTTGGCAACTAGTTTATTCGTGTATGTGAGCTTACATCTGGTACTTTAAATCTATTGCAGCTTTTATGGACTTGCTAAGCTCAATTTGTAATAGACAAATAAATAAATAAAGTTAAAGTAAAGTCAAAATTGACCCGCATCGAACGGAAGTTTACTTTATGCCACTTATTTCATTACGATTCTTCCAACACTTATCTATCACTCGTAAACGTTCAAACAATGGACGCTTTAGTCTTATCCAACGATTACAGAGCCACTCTCACTCTTTTGCGTAACTGATAGCAAAAAGTCGTGAGCATGAAATCGATAAGATGCTTGTTGGATATCTGTCTGTCTGCCTGTCTGGTTGCTCAAGTTGTCTAGCTGCCCATTTGGCTGGGGCTTGTGAGTGTGCTTTATTATCATGTAGGGAGTCCGCGAAACGATATCGCATTCAATGGCTGGCGATAACGAAAATGAGGCAAGCCACGAGTAACGTCCATTTGGGTCCTGAGTATTGGCCTGCTCAGTTTACATTATCAATCAAGCTCACTGACAATAAACAATCAACGGGGGCAGCTGGCTTGGTCCTGCACATTTACCTACTCTGCGAACTGAAAGTGATACGAGTCTGCTCAAGAATACTTTATCCCTTTTCTTTCCTGTATATTTATGTTGTATGTCATTAGTATCTATTTGTTCACTTGGGCATGTGCCTTGAACACGATCCTTTGTTTGTGATACGTTTTCAAAGCTCTTACAGAAGGGGTACAAGCAAGGAGAACTCACTCTATAAAAAGTACGAGTATGCTAGAGAAGGACAGGCTTAAGCATTAAGACGGACTTCATTAAATTATTTCCTGCATTTCAAAATCACTATTCAAATGTATCTTAGAGTAATACCTCAAAAACTAAAATGCTATACTTTTGTCCATAGCCTTTTGCTTAAATTTAACAAGGGTATTTAAGCTGCGGTCTGTGTGTGCTCAATTTCGCTAGTCATTCCTGCTGTGCGGTTTTATATCCAGACGGCGACCCGTATTCATTTGTCCCTCAAACATTTCCGCACACAAACTGCAAGACAAATGTTCGATGCGAAACTTAAGCACAAGTTTGCAGTTTTTTCGTACATTATATAAATATATATATATATATATATATATGTATATATATATATAGATAAATATATATGTATGACAGACGTCGCACGCTCGTGCAGCGTTAACTGTTTACACAAGCATCCCATATATTATATTTGAAGTAAAATAATGAAGATGTATTGGCGGTTGTTTTTGCTGTTGCTTGAGCGAGTACTTGCTCTTATTTAATGAAAATTGGTTGTAGTTCTTGCACGCACACACACTTACCACTCACCCCCGGAAACACCACCCGCTGTAGTCCTACGGCCCTTAGGAAATATTGCAATGGCCATACAAAAATTATTATTTCCACTCTTGCTCGAGGCAGCAAGTAATTTTTCTAGAGCCATGGCACTCAACGCAGTCAATTCGCCAGTTGCCGAGTTGTTGTTTTTCAAAAGCAAAAACATGTCGAAAGGGCCGAGAAAGGGGTCGGGCAGAGCGGGCTTGGACCCTGAAAAGGATAACGGACAGCAGAGCCCGCACAGAAGTGCTTCATTACTTTGCGCAGCAGCTCGCGTGAATATAATGAATGGCAATAAACGTGTTTCACATTTTCCTTCTTGCAGGACCGCTCTGCATTTTCGAGCACGCATTTTTCGCTTGTTGCCCAAAAACTGCTCCCAAAATGTTGTATATTAAATTTCCGCACTTGACACCGGGACAAGCGAATGTATATGAAATACGCTTCAATATGCCCCAGAAATGCACTTTGCAACTCTTGAGATTTACATTTGTAAATGGAAATTAATTAAATCTTTGCCATTATTTTAATTTTCAGGTTTTTCCAGCTGCTGGCACATATGAAAGAATATTTTTATTTTCTTTTCTCTTCAGAATATTTGTTGTGCTGAGTTTGAGTTGCATTTTTTTACTTTCACTTTTTAATTGAAGGTCATTGCAATCAGCTTTCAGTGAAATCGCATCTGCAAACGCATTTCCGCTGCTGCTTAAGGATCTTCAAGTTAGAGTCGCATAAGCTAAGGCAACAGCAGCTTAAGATGTCGCAGAAAGCGATTAAATCCATTGCAATTTCTCAATGAAAATTGATTTCGAGTTAATCTGTTATCAATGGATTGCTTCTTAGTTTTTAACTATTCAATTTTCCGTTGATTCCTAATATTGATTTATGGATGGAGCTAATATTGTTTACTTTCCATCTGCTTAGCTCAAAATATTTTCCAATGAACATATTTGTAAACCACTTTTGTATTGATGAAAGCAGTAGCTAACCCAACCCAATTAAAAATATCTGAATTTAATATTCTTGAAAAGTATATGATGTAAATGCTTTCAATAGACTTCAACCTTCTATTATTTTATCTTTTTACACTGATGTCAAGCCGAATATGGCATATTGTTGCTTTGTTGACTTAATTTTTGCATTTAAATTTGAACAACTATTTTTGACATTTGTTTTCGCATCTAATTTATTCAGCTTTGAAAACATCCCCCCTTTCATTTGGTTCATTTTCATTCTGTTTGCGGAATATTTAACTTTTGCATATTTATAAATGCGTTTCGCCATTCAACAAAATATGGGGTACCATCTAAATTGAAGATGCTTAGAATCGCTTGCGGGTCCCGCAATTTGTTTGAAGTGCTACTGGAAATAATTTCAAAAAATCCTTCTCATTTCTGCTCAATAGCTGTACATGTAGCTATGGCTACAAAATACTACAAATATTGATATCTCTATTTACTTACCGTATTTAAATTGGTAATCTTATCCAATTCAATGGCCGTGCTGCCGCGATGATGATGCAAATGATGCAGGTGATGTGTTGTCAACATCTTGTTGCATTTAACAGGACACACATAAGTCTCAATGTGTTTGATAATGTGATTTGATTTGCCGAACACCGGCTAAATTGAACAATCCATTAAGTACGACAAGGCAGCCGGATGTGATTTGGGTGTACGAATTCAGCCTCAACTGCAGCTACAGCATCCAAACACTACACCAGTACCAGAGGCATGGGGCACCTGTCACGTGGCCACACAAATTGCGGCTTGTTGCACTTAGCTTCGCATGGCTCAGATCACACAACATAAATTTCAATCAACCTGAGGGACGGACAAGAGATACTGAAATTAAATTGATAGCTCAAACACGCGACACGGCAACAATTTGACACGCCTTTTTGTTGCCACAGGCGTCACAATTGGGAGGTGAATTGGGGGCAGTCACACTTCATATTTTTTTGCCGTCCAATTTTTACTGGCAAATTTTTGGGCTGCCGCTAAGGGAATTTGTGGCCTGGAATTTTTCACGCATCGGATGCGATAGTTGTCGAGCGCTTTTGGCATTTACCTTTGAGTGGCAAAATTGCCAGTTGGCATCCTTAACATGACTTCACAGCTCCGGGCAATTTCCCGGCTTAACCATAAACTACGTTGCACTGCGGCCTTGTGCCATTGTGGCAGCATAAATACACAAGCAGACAACAATACAACTCACAGTCGGGCTAAATGCAATTAATTTCTGTTTCGTAAAAGTCTCGGCGCGTCTCTGTTCTCCATATTGAACAGGTAGCTGGGTGACTGGCATCTGTCCGACCTTCAGTTATACCAGACGAGCTTGCTTGCATATTACACGATTAAATTACATTAGTAAGAAAAGAGAGCACAAGTCCTTAGGGATTCTCGAATGTTAAATACCCTGTCTTGATTATGCTGGTCTTAAAGATAGCAATATTGCAAGCGATTACTAGCTTTAGTATTTAATCGCAGCGATAAATCTATAGGCCTTCAAAATCTATATCGATTTAGATAGTAATCATACTCGTATTTCTGAAGAACGTACAAGTGCATTAAAATAAATAATAAAGCTGCACACATTTGGCAGCAGGAACAGCATTTAGTGTTGGAACGCAGCTTGAAAGTGAGTGCAATAAGAAACGCTGCAATGGCAAAAGCTAAGCAATAATTCATGGGAGTAGCTCATGTAATGCTTATGTTTGCATTTCCCGAGGTTAAGATGTATGGTAAAATGTTAGATTGCTCAGGGGAATGAATTTTTCTCGTCTGGCAGCTAAAAGCGCCATACAATCTTTGATATGTTGCGTATGCAGAGACCTGGCCTTAACACTTAGTTCATAGACTAATATAAACTATCTCGGAATTTTACTTTAAAATCTGTCACAAAATGCTACCTATAAAATATGCGGAGAATAAATAACCTTAAAAATCTTTAACATTTTTTGAAATGCAATCTTAATGCTAATGCCTTCTCCTGCTTAGCACGGTAATGCTGATTAACTTACAAACTATGACTGATAAGAAAGTTGGTTTAGCATCTCGTTTCCAGACAGGGGCTATTCACGTTTATTGTCTATGTTTTGCGTGCTTCGCGTGGAAATGCAAATGAAAATGTGCCTCATTAAGTCGCGTCGCGTTGGAAAATATGCCGCGAAAGGATTAAGCGAGGCCTGCAGAATGGCGCGACGTCCATTAACGCATCTCTGTGTACCATAGTTAAAATTTAAATGCGTGGCTTTTAGCTTTTATAAAATATGAATGCGAATATTATGAAGCTGTCAGTCGCTCTTTAATCACCTGCAAGTGTCTGCTGTCTTGCGCATGTTTGAACAACAGTTGCCTCCTAAGTGGCCCATTTAAAACAATTTGTTGCTTTTACGCAGCATTTATCCTGTTGCAGGAAACCGACCATTAACTTACTTATCAAACTTTAAAGAGTTTAGTCCCACGTCTGAATCTGTCTGTGACTTTTCAGCGGCTGGAGTTAAAGTGAAGTAAAAACCCACCAGGCATTTTCATATGTGAAATACTTGTCAAACAAAATCCCAGAATCACGTGTAATACTCATAAAACAAACTCTAATGACAACCAAAACCAGTAAGAAAAATCCTTTCCCTTTACTTAAGAACATGCCTGAAATGTAGTCTGAATCGGGCTAATTTGAAACTCACATGCCAGAAACTCATTAGCTTTATTACACAACAAGGAGCAATATTACAATTAAACTGTCTCGAAGAACAAATACCCTTTATTCGGCTCTTAAACAAACTTGCCACTTAATCGTATTAAGGTGAAAATATTATAAATATTGGTGTTTGACTAGGTGATACCCTCTACCTTGATCAAATCATATTTTGGTTAAGCAAAATCATTTTCTAGCAGATTAAAGAAAAACAAAGAAAAGAAAATGTTTTTAATTGAAAGACAAAGATAAGGATTTTCTTGTGCTTCCAAAGAAAAACATAGAACAACTTTATAGATTGAGCGAAGCATCTTTCGATGCATTTTTATCATATCCATTCATTTGTATAAGTAAAGGATATATAAAGAGACACAGCCACAGAGACTGTCATGCTTGTCAGTCAGACTCATTTGGCGTCATTTGTATTAACTATTCATGTCTGAATGTGAATGTACACACACACAGACTCATTTATATACGCACTCACTCTTGGTGCGGCTGTGGCATTTGAATAATTTTGACAAATTTGTGATTAGCTCAAACATTTGCCAACAAGAGCATTCATTTTTTATGTGTGAGCCAACAATAACAAATTAGCACTTCATAATACATTTTTTCGTAGATGGGGGAAAAGTTTTATTTTGGCTTTCAGTAGCCATACAGTTGACAAGTTGTATGTGTTGAGTGGGTGTAAAGATGACTATCTGGCTCAGATCTTTCAACTAGAGACAAGGGTGAGAACAATTCTTATGAGATATGTACAATTTAGTTGAAAGTTTACTTAGAAATAACTTTACTTGTTTTATTTATGTAAATGAAAAGATTAAAATAGAGATACATTTAATATTGGCTATAAAAAGTGACTCATAAGATTAAAATAAAGAATCTTAAATCATAAATATTTTAGTATTGCGATGATAATGTTAAATGTATAAATTCCAGTTATTGAGTTAAGTGACAGGCCACGCATTTCACGAAAAATCCATTAAAGGTAAACGAATTTCCACGACTTAAGTTCGAAGCTAAATAAAAAGTTGCTTTAATGACACTTGAGAGACATTGAAATCGTTTAACGTTCTTGCACTGTGTAAGGCCATACGCACAAAAAACCAAATATATATATATATATGTATATATACATATTTATCGCTGTATATAAAGTGAGAGCCAAAAGGCAAAAGAATGCGAAAGTGGACAAAGGGCGACAAACAGTAGGCGACACAAAAGTGCAAAAAGAAAGTAAGAAAACAAAAGCGAGGGCATTAAAAGAGTCGCATGGCGGAACGGAAACAGCAAACCTCTGAGACGTAGCCTAATGCCAATGCCAACACCGGATGCGGATGTGTGACACATGGCTATAGTCCTCCTCGCCCGGCACACGGATTGAATGTCGCCTTATTGTCGTTTTGTGTTAAGTAGGCGACTTTATTAAGCCGAGGACACTGTGGCCAAAAAGTGTGCAACGCGCAACACAAGAACAAAAACATCGACAACAAAGGGGGGAAACCATTTCAAAATTTATGCACACAAGGGCCAAAGGCCAATTGGAGGAAGTAGGGCGTGTGCGGGACACCTTGGCCGTCCCCAGCTGGGCACGTGTTCTGTGTTGCGGCCTTGTGGCGGCATCATCTGGCATAAAATTAAGCGCCAGCTGCGACAATGCCGCTGCGAAAGAACTTGAGGCAAAGCAAGGCATTGGCGGCTGCTCAAGTCCGTGCGGCGTGGTCGCAATTTGTTGCTTTTTGATATTTATTTTGACGGCGGCGCATGAGAAATAAAAAGCGGCTCATAAATCAGGCGCCCTGCGACTTATGACGTGTTCCGTGCTCCGAGCGCAAACAATATGCCCAGCGGAAGCGGAACTGCGCGCGCCCTCCAGGCAACAATACAAAATGGCGTTAAAGGTGGCACCCAGGTACTGAGCGGGAGACTTAAACTTGTTATTTATGACACGACTAAGAGTTGCATCTGCCACCGACGCCACAATTATTTTTAAACTCCCTGCACTTCCTTAATAGGATAGGTACTCAGAGCCACTAATCGACCTTCAAGATGAATGTTACAAAGGGGTTTAGGTTACGAATTATGAGGTTTAAGTTTGAGTTAGGTCAGTATTACGCTTCAATTAAGTATGATCTCTATTTTAGGCAATTACTTAAATGACAAATGTTTGAGTGGAACTTCGGTAAGAAGCGACTATACACATTATGATAAGCAAAACATTTGCTTAGCATTTACTTATTTTAAGGGATATGGATTTTAGCGAATTAAATAACTTGGCATTTTTGCCCTGATTATTTTTGCCGTTTCAGGTATAGCTCTATTCTGGCCTACTCAAAGCTCACTTGACTTCTTCCCTGTTGCGCATGTTGGTTTCTCAACGTGGGCTTAAAGTGCCATAAAAATGTTGTGGCATATGTATAACACCTGCAGCACTCACTCACCGTTCATCCGCACACACTCAGAAAACGAACACGCAAGCATTTGCCCGCATAAGTAGGCAATGGAGTTTTGGAGAGCAATTTTTTTCCAAAAAAAAAATTCCGTATTTTTCCTAACTGGGAAAAAATGTTGGCAATGACCATGGGGCAATGTACATACGGTGTGCGAAAAGGCATTATTTTTCAGCACCTTTGGCATCTCATTTACACACATAGCAAAAAGCACACACCCAAACATGTTTCTAGTGTTGGGTTTTCTGGCAATGAGAAACGTTCGTAATCATAATCCAAAAGCGACACATTGGGGCGCATTTAAACTGATTTCATTTAAGACCTGTGCGCTTGTAAGTGCGTTGTATATGTGTTTGTATTTTTGTGTATGTGTGTACGCGTGCCTTGTTTGCGATGGAAGCTGAAGCAGCAACAGGAGCTGAAGAAATACTTGGAGTGTATGTCTTGACACGCACGGATCAAAGCCACAAAAATGTACGATGGCAAAATTATAATGAATTTGTCGTGCATACATTTGAAATGCGTGGTTCAACACTACGATAATCAAACACCCATACACACACACACACACCGAACAACCGCACGCGGCCCAAAAGGAAGGCACACTCAGCCTGGATTTGGCTTGGTTTACCCGATGGAACTTGGCAGATAAGCAGTTAAGTGACTTTGGCCCGAACGCAGCCCTTGGCACTTCTCGACAAAAGCCAATCGAATCGCAATCCTGGACATGAAATAAATAAGTTTTGTTATGATTTTCAGCCTACCCTGTAGCAGGAATGGCATATAATATATTAACTTTCAATTGAAAGTGAAGGAAGGGAATATAAGTTGAATACAAATACATATAATGTGATGACAGTGGTCTTTTAAAACTAGAAAACTATAAATGTAGCACAACTGTCTACAGATTATAACCGTCAGTTTATATTTCATAATATGTCTACGATATTTAGTAAACATCTGCTTAATCCGTATAAGTTTTCATTCGAAATTCAAATTCTTTTAGCAAATCAAGTGAAACCTTTTACTGGGTATTAATCTGTCGATAATCTTGTTTACTTATTTTGATTATTGTGATGACTATTATTATTGCTGCTGTTGTTCGACGTATCGAAAAATAAATTGAATTAAAATGAAATCAGTTGCCCTTGGCTGCAATATATTAATGAAAATACGACTGGCAACATAATAAACAATCCGCAATGAGCAAATACCACAAGCCATAATCAAAAAAATATCAGCATAAATCAATTGACGAACTTGCCTTTATTTCTAGAAATAGCTTGTGGCTCATGCGTTGTTCCAGTTTCAGTTTCAGCTGTCGATTGACAAGTTTAAATTGCAGTTTGATTAAATCAGCACAGTTTGAAATTGAAGCCAAACCCTCGTTAAACTCAGCTTTAGTGGCTTAAGAGTTTATAACTCATATTTAATTAAAATCAAGTGTGTCGTTTTCTTCTTTCCCCCCAAAGTGGATGCATCAACATTATTTTGGTCATTCACAAACAAATTTGCAACTTATTCAGCTTTGACTTTGCTTAAAATAGGAGCATGTCAAGCGAAAGTTGTGTTATATGTTGCCAAAGGGGTTTGTGACCTTGGATAACTCAGAAACTCATGAAAAGCTGAGTGTGTGTCCACAATTTTAGGGTTAAGTCGCTTTAAAATAACACTCAAAAATAAGTTAAGACCAAAGAAAATTTAAAGAAAGTGATAATATTGACAAATTGTAAGCAAGTAGTTAAAAAATTTAGGTTTAACTTTAACTTAAGTAAATAACTTTTTATTTGTGGTTGCAATTCGATCTCAAATATTAGTTTTCAATGAGATGAAAATGAAAATAAACTCACTTGAAGCTTTCTCGTGACGTAATTCTGCAATACTGCATCAGAGGAAAGTGTTATATCTGTTTAATTACATTAGTTAAGAGCTTGTTCGATTTAGAATTGAGAATGCATAAAACGATTTTTTAATGCAAAAAGAGTGCAGTTTTCAACACAGCTAAAAATTCCATAAACTGTATTTTATGTCAGTTACCATGTATGAAGGAGAGTAAAGCGCTTAAGTATAAAATGGACCATTAACTTGACAAGCTTTATCGTTGCGTTTATACGAGTAAGTTCCGCTTGACACTCAGCGACACGTTGGTTTTTTATCGATGCAAGTTGAAGCAATGGAAAAACTCACCATTCGCGTTAGGATTTTACTGCATTGCCATAACTTAAAGCTTAAGTGGGCTTCTTGCAAATCACAAAACGTTTTTAAAATTATGCACAAATCTGCTTTTATTGCCTCGACGTTAAGTCAACCCTGAACTCCTTGGGCATCTTGAGGGGCGCATCAGCTGCAAATGCCTCTCAGGGCACCTGTCATAAAGTAAAATTTTTGCCATTTTATTTATGGGTTGGCTGTGAGAAACGTGTTAAAGTCCAGCGACATGAAAGACATCTATTACACTCGAGTGTAGGAGATGTAAGCGAAATCAAATGATGATAAATGGAAACTTAATGTGACACAAGCCGCAAAGCAGATTTCAAGAACGACTGCAGAGTCCTTGTTAAATAATTCAACTTAATTGCCATTTCCTGTCTGCAATTGTTCGAGCTGTTAGTGTGAATTCTTAGTGCGTGTGTATATGTAGAAATTATAGACAAAATAAAATTAATGTTATTACTAGCATCAAGTGCCTTGACAACTGTCGGCCAAGTAAAAATATTGCTGAAGTGTTGCGCGGATTCATGTGAGCCAAGGGCGCAACTTGGTGTCGAGCTGTTTTAGCATTTGCATTTCATTAAAACAAAACACACGAACAGGTAAACAAGCTAAAGCCAACGCCAACACCAATGCCGCCTTAGGATACTCTCTCCATCTAGCAGCAAACATAGCTGTCAAGGATGATGACTATCTGCAAGTAGCTAACAGACTTGATGACCCACCATTGAGAATGATGACGACGACGAAGCCGACAAGTGACAAATGACAAGCAGCAGGAGATGGTGAAACACGACTTTAATATCCTTTCTAAGTAGAGAATTTTGATTTTGTCTGTAAGTGTGCCACGCATTGAAAAAGGGAAAGCAGGCAGGTAATAACTTTATGAAATTCGACATTTTAAACTACATGGCTGGAAAAAACTTGTCAAATTGTCGTTAAGTTGTTTTTATTTAAAAAGTTGATTTTTTAATACACTTTGAACAGCAATTCTTGGCAGATAAGTTGTCAAAGTGACTCTCTTATTGAATTGCTGATATTTCAGGTTGAGTTAATAATCAGCAGAACAAATGGATAAAGGGTTAACAATTTTAATCTTTAGCAGCTCCTTAACTGAACTACAACCTGACCTCAAAGTGCATCACAGGTTCTACAATGTTTAAAACATTTACGAAATGAAAAAAAATTAGCTCACAACCAAATAGTAATAAACTCAGCAGCTATGCTGTATAATTTGTTGAATATGTCAAAGTATTTAATCACGATATTAAAGTCTTGATAATGTTTTATTTATTTAGTCCTTCACTGCTATTGGATGTGAGTGTGTGCATATTAGCGTTCTTTTGATTTCAAGGCGCTTCATTATTGCTGGTCAGAGAGTGTAAACGTGACCAACCCGGGGGCTGGTTGCAGATTGCGCATACGCCGCGGCGAGCGAGTGAAGCAAGTGAATGCCTCAATTAGTTTATGTTACGCCCGAATAAACACACGTTAAAAGTGCGTGTAAACAAGGCAGCGGAATAATAACGCCATGTACCATGGGCAAACAGCGAAAGCAATGCCCAAATTATTCGAGCAACACGCCACGCCCACTAGTCCACAACCTCTACGCAGAGGCCTGGCCGCAAGCAAACAAAGCTGTCACTTGTCACAGGCGCCTCTGGGCCACTACCAGCAACTCGAACAAAGGTAAAGGTAGAGGCAAAAGCAGCAGCGGCAACAGCAACAGCAACAGCAGAAGCAGAAGAAGTGGCACGCCCCAGGCCCGCTGGCCAGATAATTTCCTTTGTTCTGTGTGGCAAATGTTTTTATTTCTTTTTGTTTTGTTTTTTGTTGTAGTTTTTTTTTTATTATTTTTTATGTGCAGTGAACGACGGGGGTCGGAGGGGATGGGCGAAGCGCGCGTTCTTGTCAGCTATTTTTCCGCTTATTTTATCACGTTTTGTTGCCTGTTTGTATTTGTGCTTTGTGTTTACTTGTGAGTGTGTCGTAACTGAGGCTCAGACAGGTAGCAATATGCAAATCAAACAAAGAACCGAGTGCCACCCCGAAGAGGAAGAACTGGAAGAGTCGCTGACAGCGCAGCGGAAAGAGCCTGATGAGTGCCGAGTATCCATCAATATGTGTTTCACGTGCCTGGCGAGGACAAGGACAAGAATGGGGACGAGGAAGTGAACTCTTAAAAACCCATTGATCTAATGCGATTTCCACAAAAAGTGACATTGACAAGTCGCGTTTTATTTTTATGGAATTTAAATAAGTTGCTCATGATCTAATTTGCGCATATTTTGATACATTTATGTTGTGTTTTGTTCGTATTTCCATATTTTAGTCTGTTTAGCAAACTAGCAAATTACTGCATAAGCTGGCTATCAAAATTAAGCTTATCAAATCGTTTTGTGGTTTAATTGTATGGAAACTGACCATTTCATTTATTTTGCACTGAATAATGAAAACAACGCGTATGCGCCTCGTGTGCCAAGTGTTTGTTTGGACTCGTTGTCACAAAACATGCGCGTCGCGTGTGCTCTCGACTCAACGTCTGCGGTTCGACTGAGCAACATAGGGCAGGCAAGCAGAACGAACACACACAAGTGAACACTCAGCTGTCAGAGGCTGTGGCCGAGTGATGTTAGCTGAGCGCAGCATTAACAGTCGCCTAGCAGTGCGCTAACAGCAACAGCAACAGCTGAGCAGGCAATTCATTCATAATTATTCTGAGTGAAATTCAGTTTGTTTTGGGGCGCTGCGAATCAATTCGCTTAAGACATAAATGTGCCACTGGGGAGCAACTGCATGGCGCGTGTCCTAGACGTAGCTCTTAAGTAGAGGCATAAGGACATGCCTATGGCTGTGACCATTGCTATATACATATATAAATATATATGGGTTAAGGAACGCGCAACCCATCGTTAGAATAAATGTTGACCTTTTTGAAAGAAAAGTATAAGAAATAACATACAAGGATATAAATGCGCGTGAAATGTCAAAATCACTGTCACGGGGCATGAGAAACGTTCGAAATAACCAAATGGGGAAGCGACAAATAAAAAAAAGATCGAGGGAAAGAAAAACATAGAAAATAAAAGATGACATCGCATAAGCAGAAACAAGCAAATACCAATGCCAATGCCAATGCCAAGGCAATCAAGAAAATTTGGTCCAACAAATGGCAAGGCAAATACGAAAGCGAAAATAAAAGAAAGTCAAGTGTTTGCATGAGCTGATGATGATGATGGTGATGGTGATGGTGATGGTGATGGTGTAGCCACATACACATTCACACACACACACACACACATACACGGAGGAGCTGCTTTAGAGCAGCCCTAAACGAACCATAAGCACTCTGGTATCTGAGTCGGCTCTCTTCAGTTTTCCCCATTGCATTTTTAATTGCAGCACGGCTTTCCCTTGATACACAACAAAATGTTGCTTTTGCAACTGCAGCTACTGAAATCAGTAAATCTCCGCCAGTTGGCCTGTTTATCTGGGTTCATCCTGTGTGCATAGCTTCTGCTGTTTGCACTCCAATTTTTCGAGCACCAACAAAAGTTATAACCGAAAGCTAGATTTATTATGCTTATGGCTAAGGCCAACAAATTTAAAATTTAACCATAACCAGTACAGTAACCAACACACTGTTGCAATTTATCAAGCTGCTGTTCCTAAAGCTTCCAAACCTCTACTTCCACAGCTGAAGTAGAGCAGTGGGTTGCGGCAGGTGGCGGCTCCTATGTCGTGGGCTTATTAGACCAATTTGTTAGCTCTCCTCTCTCTCTCTCTCTATCTGTTTGAGTTGGTAGTTTCTATTGTATACTGAATGCAACCCTTTGCTTAAAAATTTCAAATTTGATAGCCAGTGCAGTATATATATATATAGACCTATATATAGACCTATATATAGACCTGACACTCACACGCACCAAACATTCATCAAAATAGGGAGGAAACTAAAAAGTAATTAAGGTTGCAGTATTTTCTTTTTGACTATAATTTGCAAATAAAAATGTCACTATCAGTAATGCAGTACAATCATGGTTTGCCCTCTCAATTAATACTGTTTCTATTATCAGCCAAGGGCGTCAGCATAGAGTGCCCAACAGGGGCTCTAAAATTGAATTTAATCTAAAAAGAAATCAAATAGGCATCACTACCATAACTGCTCTCATAGTTAAACGATTTACTAACGCACTGCCTTTTTGGATATTTTTTCTTGACCTGCGTATTTCTTTTTCAATTGAATATCCAAAGAATGAATAAACAGTTAATTAATTTTAAACATACATGCCAGTGTGGATGGCAGTGTGTATATATTTAAATTCCCATTAATGAGCAGCATGGGGCATTCTTCCACCGTCCGAAGCATATATTTCATACATTTCCGGTATTTTTTACTTACGCAAAATCGTTTTGAGAATTTCATTGATACTTTGTAAATGGCCACACAGCCGCTAGTTATTATGGAACTAACCACTTAATCACCATATCATATCAATGCCATAAAAACATATCAGCAACAACTACAACACTGCTTGCTACAAAACCAACTTCTTCTTCGATTTATGTAGGTTGAGTGTGGGAATACACATGAGATTTTGGCATTTCTTCCGTATTCTGTCCATGGACTTTTTCTGGTTGTATCTTTACGAACTGTGTTTGTCTATCTGTCTGTCTGTCGGTGGCTGTGGCTGTGGCTGCCTATTGGAAAAATATTGACTCGCTGATTATTTTTATTTGGTTCCCGCTAACATTTAGATTGAGACATAAAACTATGCCGCTGCTCTGCCGACAGGGTAAATATAAACATTTATATACGATTAAGTGTGCTGTTTATTTTGATGTTTTCTTTACTGCTTCCGTTTCTACAGCTCCAACGGATTATATGCCTACATCTGCCCGGTGCCAGCCTTGTCAGATATTTCGTGTACGTCGCATTAAATGGCCCGGAATGAGATAGACAAACAGAGATGAGAGTTTAGCCTGGCAAAAACCAACTCAGGGCACATTAATGCCGGCATTCACATAAAGTGCTCGGGAGTTTTGTATCGACTCACGTTGTGCCCATACACCGGCATTCCATTGAATTCCATTGATGGCCAGAGCCACAGACAATAAATCAATAAGGAACTCATCAAAAAATCAGAGGCAAGCATTGGAAATTTGTTGTACATCAAATTGTTTGCCAGCTGATTATCTATGTCTGTGGCGCAAGGGCGTACCCCAAAGGGGACACTGTAATTTTGTAATTATTCGTGCAATTTAATATACCGACCGTATGCGTCTATATGGAGTTCAATCAGTATGAGACCGCTGTCACCCTGCCAAACCCTCCTAGAGTGTACGCCTTTGTGTGCGATAGAAGTTGAACAATGTGGAGGGTAAAAGAAAAACAAACACATTCAACATAAAGCCAAAATGAATGCCTTGCTACAAGCAAAACTCATTTCATTAGGAATGCAAACCAATTAAATTGAAAGCATAATGTGCCAATGTTCTTTGACACTGATTGTACCCTGTAGCCAAAAATTATTACTAAGTGGTGTGCTAACTATACATGTCGAATATTTTTATTTATGCATATACATATGCATTTTGTATGTATTTTCGAGCAATTAAACCGTCCCTGGGAAGGGAAAGCCCACATTTGTCTGCTATCGATAGATCTTTCCACCTATTAATATCGATTTATTCACATGTATGTATGTCAAGAATCCAGTGCTCTATAAGGTAATTTTAAAACTCAAGACTTTGAAGCTTGCAAACAGCTTACAGGGTAACTCTTATCTGAAACCTCGTGAACTGTTTATTTTTGATATATATAAATATATATATATTTTATTTTAAACGACGCGTTGCGACAATTTCGGCATTTTCACAATTTCAATTTATGCAAATGCAACAGAAGGCCATTCCAGTAGCTATGGAGCTGCCAGAGAGGCAAACTGAAGCCACGGGCTTTAACGCTCATTAGGGTGTTGTCAACCCCAACAAAGTACATCCAAGGGTCGTTCTTTTGCGGCTTGCGAGAATTGCTGAGTATGCATATCAAGTTGCTTGCATATTTTCAATTGCTTGTGTATAAAAACCAAGGCTCAGTTCGCTGAAATTACATTTTCATACAGAGAGTTTATGTCGGATGCGAAGCAGATTCGAGAACTCAGTTTCGCGTCTAAAGCCATTAAAAATGCAAAGTGTAGGGTCTCAACGCCTTAAGCCACCGAAATGCATACACTTAATTTGAACTAACGACTCCACAGAATGGAATCAGGACTTACATCTGGTTAGTAGCAACCTTGCATTTGCAACGCTTGCAGCGTTTTCTTGCTTTGGGACATATCGATACATTGTAACGTTGCTCGTAGTAATCAAAATAGGATTGCGAAATCATTTGTACAACCTAAGCTCAGGAAGAGTATTCTCCAATATTTAAAAACATAATATGGCAAATGATAAACTATAATCCATGATATGTATGGGAATTTAAAATTGATGTGTGGTTACACTGGTTAAAGTGCCTGCTTACTAGTCTCACTCGATATTTAAATTATCGATACATTAACTTCTTCTTTCCGGATTCGTGGAAAAACGTGTTCTAAGTTGCCTTGATTTATTCAAATTGGCTAATTGTGAACATACGGACTATTGATCATTTTATAAGTTAATATGATTTCGTTGGGGCGTCGTGAACAGTTCACCTCTGGCAGCCCAGATCTGCAAGACCTATTTCTCGAATTTCACTCGCTGTATCGCAAGATCAGCCCGCGGGACGGCAATAGCTTGTTTCGGATGATAGCGGAGCAGATGTACGACTCTCAATGCATGCAGAACGACGTACGGCAGGAGTGTGTGCGCTACATGACGCTAAAGCGGCGTATATTTGAGAAGCAGATTGCCGGCGACTTTGATGAGTATGTAATGAAAATGTCTAAACCTCAGACGATGGGCACAATGATAGAGTTGCGTGCCCTGTGCCTCTTGTATCGACGCAATGTTCGTCTATACGAACCCTTCAAAACCTTCGAGCTGGTGACCTTTAATAAGCGCTATATGGAGTATTTTTCTGTTTACTACACGAAGGATCAGCATTTTGATTCGATTTACACAATTGAAGACTATAAGGCGTTGGCCGTGGCTCAAGCAGTATGTTATAAGATGCTCTTCACAGATATCTTTAAGTTGCCCGATGTCAGCTATACCGTTGAGAAGATGCTCTATTCTGGTAGATTCAATAATTGCAGCATTAAGGAGTGCTGCAGCTTCTACAATCGCAAAGGCTTGGCCTTGTCCTGTGTGTGTCAATTATTGGGCAACTTTTGTATCCCCTTCCCCTATAAGGTGGCAAAGATGCTGGATCCGCACACATATCGCAATATGGATCGGAGCTCGTGCCGAGACTCGAAAAGGACGGAATATCTAGATAAAATCTATACCGTGGGTGCCATGTGCCGCGTAGACCTGTCGGCAGACAATTCACAGATTGGCTACATTCAAGAAATATTCATCGAGACGCAATCTTGCCTCGTCCATATAGTATCTATGGCAAAGAAGTTGCAGATGCCCTTGGCCAATGTGCATCCGTTGCCACCCAAAGACGTTTGCGTCTACCAAGGCAATCTGATTTAAAGCATCGATCGTCAAATACAACATCTGATTTTGGCAAGGCATCCAAACTGGTTAGCTTCAGTGCTCACAGTCAGCGCAACAAGAATTCTGCTTATCCTGTCGGACAGCTACTAACACTAATCAATAATGACTACAATCAATTGCCACTTCTCTTACAGCAGCAGTAAGAAAACTTGCATATATATACTAGCTATATATACTTGTAAAGTGTTTAAATATACGTACATTATAAATACAAATAAATGAGTCGATTGCGTGTTTAAATATCTAAAATTATGCAAGTACGAGTATATCATTGTTTCCCATACAATGTGAGTCTTATTTTTAGTAGATTAAAAACTCTCGCTATTATTTTTGGCTCTTGAAATATAATACAACTTTTATTTTATTTTTTTACCAAAATGTTACACATATGCATTTAGTTTTATATTAATTATCTGCATTTTATGAGTTTAATTTAAGGTAACTTACTCCTCGCCACACGCAATTAAGTTCATTTTCTTGGGGTTCTTTTTAAGTTCATCCGCTCGCAGTCCAAGGACATTAGTTATAAATTGATCTATCCCTCTATCCTGACTTTTGACGCTTCTGGCAGTTCCTGCAGCGTTTTGTAGAGTTTCCCGAGGTTTCGCCACAAATTCAAATGGTATGCCAAAAGGACGACCAATTGGTTTGATCGTGTTGCGCACATCAATAATAGAGTAGGTCAGAATTTCCTTGAAAATTCCCTGAGTTATGGCCTCCTCGATGGCAGCATGGCTAACCAGAAAGCAGCCGAGCACACGGTTTGATTCCAGCAACTGCACTTTCACGTGATAGACATTGTCGGCCCGGAGTAGGATGGAGAGCATGATATCCTTAAAAGGCCGTTTCTCAATCAGTTGGAGCAGCTCACAAGTTAGATCATTCGACACTGACTGCTCTTTACCCGAGCAGAACTGGCACACACTGGACGGCTGGCGCTCTAGCTGATGATCGAAATTTGGCTGGACTTCAAGTTCATTCTCACTACTAAGTATTGGGCTTCTTTGGCCAACTTGGGTAGCCACACTCTTACAATAAGAATAGCCATTCGATTTGATTTGATTACAAGTACAGGGCTTAAACGACTCAGTTGATGCGCTTTCTTTTTGACTGTCCGGATTAGGAATAGAAGCAAACCTATTAAGTTCTCTCTTCGTAATGGAGGAGGAGGTTTCTAGATGCGGTTGCTTCGGGATCCTAAATATGTCCAAACCAGTTCGGTTCTGGACTGATACGGGCGAGTTGCTGGCAGTACAAATTACAACCAATCCAGATGAGTCCTTGTTATTAGGTTTCATTTCAGATTGTTTCTGACCATGGTCTTTAATATCCTGCTCTTTGTTAAGCACGTTGATGCTCTCTTGCAGATGGTCCACGTGTGCCTCCAGTCTTTGTAATTTATAACGCAATAAGCTTAGTTCGCTTCCCAACATTGGTATAAACTCACACTTTTTGCAGATTTTATCATCCTGTTCTAATTCACATTGTGTTTGCATTTCACGAGTTTGTAGCTCTATGATTTTGTCTTCTTCTGTCTTGGTGGAGTTTACTGTTATTTTTGGATACTCACTGACTAAACTTCGTCTCCAAAAGCCTTTATTCAGCAAGAAATTCGGATGATTCGAACCGATCCCCCTTAATTTGGAAGATACAACGGGGGTTTCCTTCAGTTTTACATCAGTTTTCTTTATTGGTCTGTTCAGAATCTCCGATTTGTCATACATTTGGAAGTTGGCAGACGATTTTGTAGAGTCTCGCTTTACCGTAGAGGACGGCGTTTCTTGTTTTTCATTGCCATTTATCGTGGTCATCATCATTTCACGATAGCTTGTCTGTGTGGCAACATTTGGATATAATTCAGATCTGCCATCTTCGTCTTCTAACGAATTTTGTTCAAGGATAATAATTGAGTTTGTGAATGTGATACTATCTGTCTGAGTGCCAGTGTGCTGTACAAATATGGTTTCCCTCGATGCGAACTCCGCTGATAAATCATAGCTTTTCTCCAGAGCTGCAATTGGATCTAGCTCATCAAAAACGATGCAAACTGTGCGCTTATCGCCATTGGGAGCAGGTATATTAAGACGTGTGGTCAGGTCATCATCGTTGCGGCATTGACAGCTGTTTGGTGGCCCACCCCCAGGTAATCGACTTATTCGTTGGGCCAACGCTGATCCGCCTTGCATTACCTTGGCCATCCCAAGCAGGTAGCTTCAGGTATTCAAAGTATCTGCATAAAATGGCAAGGCAATAAACACTGGCTGTGCTGACTGTGTTTTAATAGTGCTTTGCTAATTAAGAATCATTTAGGCTACAACTGGGCAGCGGCACTGAAAATAGTAAGAGCTAAATTAGAGAAAAGAATAAATAATTAATTAATTAATCTACAACTACTCCTTTTTCATAAGACAAATCGACACCAACGATTGGAATTTGCACCAAACATTCTACACTATGATATCAAGTTGGACAATGCCACATTGAGCAATCCGGAGACAGTATATTGGAGGCCCAATAAAATGTCGAGTATATTGGCAACTCTGTGCCCAGAAAGCGACAAACTTTGAGCTGCTCAGCGATGGCGACAAGGAGCACAATTCTTCAACTAGGTGACGATGGCGAGGAAAAGGTCCATATGGTCCAGTGACCAATACAAGACCAATACTTATATATAATAAAAACTACTTTTGCATATCAATTTACCTGAGTGCTCAATGTATTTGTTACGCAGTTGGATTGCATGTCTTTGCAACATACGTGTTGACTGCGCTTACCCCAAGAGTAAAACAGAATTGCTGTGGATGTTTTCTTAAAGCCAAATTAATTTTCTCGTGTATCAAAATGTTGAATTTTGAGAAATATGTCACTTACATTATCGGTATTTTGATATTTTTATCATTTGCTGTTCGATGTGACAAATAATGTTATAAAGCAAAATAACTTGTTTTTAAAATGTACACAACAAGACAATATTCCATATACTCTTGACAGGATATTACCATACTATCAAAAATATTGCTAGATTCACTTCCTCAGTCCGCTTTGTAGGCTCGATAAAGTTGGCGGAATTGTAATTAAATAAGATGCCTGGAATAATAAATAAGACTTTTCGTAGTAACGTAGCAACCAAGTAACAAGCCAATGTTTGAGTTCATCTTAATATAAAAATATGTTATGTACTATACGTACACAAGAATGAGTCAATTGAATGAATAAGCAATTAAAATAATAGGAGTATTTAATCTTTATTCATACAACTTGAGAGACAGCGACCTACATGAATGTTCTTCGGAAGATTAAGGCTCAAACGGATATTAAAGCATTTAAAATTGTATATTTTTAACAACAAAAATCGTACATATATTGCATCTAATTATTTCCCAACCCAACGAAAATGGTTAAATAGGGATTAAGGTTTTTTTTGGAAATGTATATAATAGGCAGAAGGAAGCATCTCCGACCATGTAAAGTTTATATATTCTTCAGTGTGTAAATCTTTTTAAAGGTAAATTTGTCAATATATCTATATTATATTTAAAAGCTGCGTTCGTGGTATATCGTATATTATATTATATCGTATATTATATGAATTTTCAGAACTTTAAAAGTTTAATTTAAGGCAACTCTTACACTCTATTGTTTACAGTTCGTAAAGTACAATGGAACTAATTTGTAGAACTTTGTTCAGCGAAATTTTGATTTAGTGCGTTTCATCATCCGAATTTGAGGCGACCTCGACTTGAGCGTCGCACAGCCGTTCCTGTAGATTCCTATTGATATTGTCAACCATGTCGAAGGCATCAATGATCATGTCCGCCTCGCTGTGGGCCTTTTCGCTCATCTCTTGTAGACTGCGTCGCAGCTGCTTGTGCTCCCCGCTGGTGTCGCGTTGCTCACCACGCTGGAATAGGTTGCTGCTGGTACGGGCAAAGAGGGCGGCGGTGCCGTTGCCCTGCTGCAGCTGATGCTCCAGCTCCTCAGGCTGCGGGAACTCTAAGTCGAGGGCATAGCGGCGCAGCTGCTCATATTTGTCTTGGAGATGCTGCTGATCCTGTCCGTAGCTGATGACGACTGCTTGTAGCACCACTTCGCTACCTGGTAGCTGTAGGTATGCAATGACATCCTTGAATAGATTCTCCTGGCGCCACACCGTCTGACTGTACGGTATAACCTGATAGACAACCGTTTCTGGCTCCGGACTGTACTGCACAAGCAGCCAGGTGTGCTCATCCATCGGCTCATGGGCAGCATCCAGATGCTCGTCGAAGGCGTGATCAAAGCAGCGCGCCTTCAGATGTAGCAGTACTTTCTCCATATAATCACGCTGCTCATAAGTATACAGAACGTGACCAATGCAGCCTGGACCCAGTTTGACCAGCGGAGTGCTGCTCAGATTCGGTTTAGTGCTTAGCCAGTCGGGGCATTGTGGCGAAATGATCTTATGCACCAGTCGGTTGCCCGAGGCATCCTCCTCGTTGTACTGCACCAGCAGCTGGCGGACATTGTCGTCGTCGTCCCGCTGCTCCTTACTCATAGCCACTAGGGCTGCATCCACTAGCCTGCGCTCATCGGCTGCCAATATGAGTTTTGCCTCCAGTTTCTTTCCATTGATGCGGAATTCTACAAAACGTGTCATATACTTGTCGGACACATCCGACTCCAGCAGCTCCATGCTGTGCAGGACGCACAAACGCCTTTTGCCATTCGGACGACCGTTCTGCATCGAGCCAGCGTCCACCTCGGCCAGGAACCAGGAGAGACGTGTTGCCGCAGCATTCGCATTACTTGGCATGCCACAAATCGCCGAGTCGTCCAAGCCACTATCGTTGCTAATGTTGCTCATAATTATATTTAAGGTTGGAAAATATTTAGTTGTATTTGTTCCGTCCTCTTGCTTTGCTCTCGACAAACTGATGATCACTGCTCGCCTTCCCACCCTTTTAAGCACCAGCCAGTTGTACCTTTCTCTTGCAACACGGCTTAACAGGTACACGGCCCTTCTTCGAATTGAGTTTTATGACAGGCAGTTGCGCGGATTTACCCAATTGTGTGTCAGGCAATCGAGTAACAGCTGCGGGTAAAAGTAAGTAACCATAAAATATTATTCTGCATATTCTGTGCTCCGCTCTTCATTTTACTACTTGCTAACTGTTAAAATTGCAAGCTGGTAAAGACATTAAGACATATCTGCATATGTACAGTGGCTCTCAGTTCTTTTCGGGCAGTGTCTAGCAAAATTTTTAAAGTGCTGTAAAGCTTAAACAAAGAAACAAACGCAAAATGTTTAAATGCCAATTTGTTTTATGTTATATCACGTTTGAAAAGGAAGCTTCAGTTTTTATTAATATATTAATTAATTAACTAAAATTAGTCAAAAACTGAAAACATATCCAAAATACATGTCAACATTTATTTCGGACAGTCTTAGAAGAGTAACATATTTGGCGTATAAATACTTAAATAAGGATGTTAATACTTAGTATGATATCCTTTAGCCTTAATAACTTCCCTTAACCTATTATTCATTGTATTTATGTGAGTAGTGACGATCTGTATATGTTCGCATTCCATTTATAATAGACTGCCAATGTGTAATCTAATAAATGATTTAGTTCTTATTCTTCGTAGTAAATTGAATTTTATGTTTATTTTCATATTGGAATATTAAACATGGTCAAGAAAAATTGAATAAAAATGTCATGCTAACCAAATAATTCCAAGTATAAATTGAACTGTCCCTAAAATATGGCGATTCTGTCAGTTCTTCTAGTATTTTGTACAGTTTTCCAAGGTCTCAACACAAATTCAAATAGTATCCAAAAAGGAAGACGAATTGGTTGATTATGACTGACCGGATTGCTTTGATCCGGAAACGACTATATCAAGGCGGCTTGAGGAGCCGCCCCTCAATCACCAATAGCAGCTCACACATAATATCATCTAAAATTGACTGCTCTCTATCTAAGTAGACCTGGCACAAGCTAATAATAATAATAGGCTGCAGCGCATTTTTATGTCTCCGTTTCTCGATTATCGATACATACAAATTTCCGATAGCAATAAATGCTTCAATTTTAAAGGTTAATCTAATTAATACATAATATGCATATGCATATTATTGATCAACTGCTTAAATTTCATCAATATCGGATAAGAAAGACTCACGTTTTGGTCGAAAATATATTATCATATTGATCTCATTTCTATCAGTAGCCGTAAGCATTTCTATATGCATCAATATGCGAGCGCATGTGTGAGAAAGAGATGTCATGATAATCGACGCGAGCGTCAATTTGGTTTTTGCGGGTATTCTGCTGAGCCCCGTTACCCCGTACATATATACATATGTATGAATGTGCACGTGTTTGTCAGCAGAGCACGGTTTGCGACCTGCTCACATTTGGGTCCAAAACCTTTAAATGGAAATTTTGCAATAAAACTGAAAATATTTAAAAACTGAGTTCAAGGTAAATCGTAGTTGAGCTCACTCGACTACAATACTCGTATCAACGCCATTATTCATAACTCAATTTGTATGTGGGAAATTGTATCTAATTAATTCATCAAAGCTTATCTGTGTGGATATATTAGGATATAAATCGGGACGCCGATTTTCTTCAATGATTTAAGAATGAGACTTAACCATCTGTGGTAACCATCTGCGTGGCACTGAGTTGAACAAAAATGGTTCCTTAGATGCGGATAACACAAAGCTTTTCTCTAAAACTGCCATTGGATTTAGCTCATCGAAAACGATGCAAACTGGTCAATTCATGCGAAGGGGAGCAGGTATATTAACATGTCCTCAACCTTGTGATACTGCCAGCTGTTTGGTGGCCCAACCCAGGTAGTCGACTTATTGGTTGGCCCAACGCTTATCCGCTTTCATTGTCCTGGCCGTCCCATGCAGATGGCTTACGCAGCTGCATAAAATGGCAAGGCAATAAACAATTTGTATTGTAGGACTTACCTGTTAATAATCCAATCGTATTGGCGGGGTATATAAGAGCGTTGCTTATTAAGTTATATTTAGTCTACATTTCGACAGCAACAGTGAGCAACATGGTAAGTGTTAAACTTTACAAAAGATTTATCTCGGCTATTATTAATTTATTTGTATTATTATTCCGACTTCATTAGATAAATCGCCGCCAACGATTGGAATTTGCGCTAAGCATTCTGCCCTATGATTTCAAGTCAGTGCAGCTATCAAGGGCACAAAATCAAGTGGAAGACATTATAGCACGACTACGCACCGACGACACCTCTGCTGAGGAGGAGAGCGATGAGGAGAAGACCAGAACCCAGCAACAAAAAAATGCCAAAGGCTTTGCCGAGCAGACAATGCGCCATATTGAGCAATCCGAAGGCATAGTATGTCCGCGACCGAAGAATATGTTGAGCACATTGGCAACTCTGACTCTGGCAGCTGAGAAGCTGCTGAAAACACAGTGCAAAGTGGATGATGAAAGTTTCGAGGAAAATGAGGAGTTTGGTGAAGACTCAGACTTGGTCTTGGATGAGGAGGCAGCGCTGGCCAAAGTGGATCGCAAGGAGCTCATGGAGAACAGCATTCAAGCATTGAACGAGGCGCGTTTGAAGATGCTGCAACGTTGGGAACGCTCCAAGCGGAAGGCTCTCGATCTGCTTACCATTGAGATCGAGAAGGTGCAGGCCATGGATCAGGACCATGCCCAAAAGGCGGCACACTTTCAGATGTTCCGTGATGGCGCCGACGAGCACAACACTTCAACGCCCAAGACAAACGATGATGACGATGACGATGATGAGGAAAAGGAGAATGAGAAAGAGAATATCAATGAGCTGGATGACGATGATGAGGAATATGTGCCTAGCGGTGCCGAGAGCTGTAATAAACGCAAGCGGCAAAAGAAATTCGTCACATCAACCCCATATCCAATACTCAAGTGTCCGCACTTTGAGTTCGATCACGATGCCAACTCATCTATGATCACCATTGGACCCAATGGCACACAGATATCGAGGGCCTGTCTCACTGGCATTAACTGGTCCATGTCTGGCCCGTCCATAACCCGCAAGCTGATGTGCGAGATCTTTGATCGCGCTACTCTTGCCTTTCACACACTCTCTGGCAAGCCGTCACCGGCCTTTAAAGATTGCGCACGTCCCAGCAAGCAGCAGTTGGATCCTCTCAAGGTGAGCGATCTGGTCTATCTGATGACCAACAGTCTGCAGATGACACCACGCGAGGTGCGCACAGCCATAACAACCAAGTGCGCCGATGAGAATAAAATGCTCCGTACTCGACTCCAGCGAGATCCACGCAAGACTATTTAGATGAAATATTATATCTTGGCCCAGCCATACATATGGACCAGTGCATCGAATTTCGAACATACCTATATATATAATAAACATTACTTTTGCAAATCAAATTACCTGAGTTCTCATTGTATTTCTCTCTCAGTTTGAAAATTTGTTGCTTCCGTGCATTCCAAGAGTAAAATAGAATTGCAGTTTTTATTTTTTAATGCCAATTTTGTTTCTCATATTTACTATCTGCAAAAAATGTGAAATTTTAAGGAATATGTGAAACATTCTCTATAAAGAACATTTAACAGTTACATAATTATAAAACTATCAATATTTCTGAGCTGAAATTGAAAATTCAATGCGAAATTTAGAATTTAAAAATATAATTTTTTGTATCTTTTATCTATTTATGCCAACTAAAACTACACTTTTAGCTTTCATGATTATTTATTGCATCACAATTCATTCGAATATTTTCATTATAAATATGGTAAAGAAACAAAATAAAATTTATCTCATTGTACATTTATTTTCAATAATATCCAAAGAATGATGATTACTCGCAAAACCATTGACTTGGCTTGGCTGATTGCTGAATGAGAGTGCCTAAATCAAATTATCTTATATTTATTTAGATCGCATTTAGATGCAGTGCACAACAAATAAATCACCAAGCATTTTGAGTTCGGTAGTAGAGCAAGGAAATGGATTTAAGAAACACTTTGTATTATTTATATGGTCTATCAGCCTGTCAAGGTTTTTCAAGTGTACGGCATTTTGCGTACTTATTTTTCACACACATGTTGACAAAATTGATGAGTACCAAGGAAATTCGTAGAAGAGAAATAAAGCAAATAGAATAATCAATTTTTAGTTGTTTTTCTTCCCTCTGACCAAATCCAAAACGTGTCAATGTTTTTTACTCTTATCCATGGTAAACATTTTAGTCTGCTCTCGTTTTTCTTTTTTTTTTTTGTTCTTTTGGTCAAAAACATTTTGATATGCAAATGCGCTTTGTGTGGCATAAAAAGGCAGCCTGATTTGAATACAATATATATTTACACAAATTCATACATATGAATTTGGGTATTTTATGTACGCAAAAGTTTTGGTCCGTCTGGTTTACATACATGTTTTACTTTGAAAGCTGGCAGTTTATAGCTGGCATTAAAATAGCAGCAACATCAACCGATCAAGATGTCTTTAAATAGCAAAGCCTGCCAACTCTATTCCGCAGGGCATTCATCACAGCGAAATTTCTATCAATCAAAAGCACAGAAGGCACACTTACACAACTCACAATTGTATCTCCGAGATGTGGCAGAAAATTGAAACACAGCAAGTTGCCTTGAAGTAGACCAACAATAAAAATATCAAATGTCTGCAACTGTATTAAATTTGAAGAAATTTACTCTGAAGATATGTATTGCTAAACAACACAAAAAAAAAAAAACAATAAAATGTTTATATAATGATCTCCTATGAAATACCCTAAATATGTTTTATTTATTATTAATTTTTATCCTATTATTTTATTTTCTTTCTACAAATTGAAGTTTATTATTCATAGCACAATTTACTAATAAACAATACAATTTTTAAACAAAATATATTAAAAATTAGTTGTTTATAGTTGTTTCCAGTCAATTTACACTTAAGTAAATTTTCTTAATAATAATTGGTTTTATTTTAGTAAATAACAATTTTAAGTACGATTTTGTTTCAAATTCAAGCATCGTTTTACATTAATGTAAGTTCGGTTGGACTTAAAAATAAATAAAGGTGAGTCTTGTAATATTACATATATTCAAGCGAACAAATACCCTGTTGTTTGTTCGCTTATGGCCCTTAAGGATATGAAAAAGAACACAAGAATTTCATTGATTTCGCTTAAGCATAAAGAATGTTGTCTTTACTCGACTACTTGCGGACATCATACAAAAGACGTCTCCTGGGGGATGACATTGTCAAAATTGTATGTGGTTGAAAATTAAGTCATTATTCTTGGCAGAAGTCACGTTGCTGTGGGCGCCGCGTCAGCAACCTGGCCAGAAATCAAAATCACACTTCACGGCGGCACGAACTCGAACTCCCACTCCGTCGCGTCCTTGTCCTTGTAATCGTTCACCCCTTCAAGTTTTGGAGCTGATGTTCCCGCAAAAGTGTCATCGGCAGTCGTGCGCTGCCAACCACAGCCACCAAACCAACAGGCAGCAGCCACGCATCCTTTGGTAGCTAACGACAATAACAACAACAACAACAACAGCAACAACAACAGTAGCAGCAAAGTTACCCATCTTCAGTGACAGCCCACATTCACAGTCCCCACGCTTAAAATACTGGCAATGACATTTACACTTCAGTTGCTGCTGTGCTTGAAAATTCATGTAGATGATGAATGAGCGCAACGCAAAGCGAAGTGCTACTAACGCTTGTCTCGCTTCGTTATTTAGCCTTTTTCTCATTCTTCGGTCCATTAAGTTTTTGTATTCAAATGCCGCCATAAGGACCTTTTATCCTTAGCCACACAATATACAACATTAATGCCTTTTCAGGTTGAATTTGATTTGGTTAAATACTAGTTTGTCTGCTTAATATTCAGGTATTATCTTTTGTTATAACTCTTTGAGTTTCATTTTTAATCATAAACAGATTAATAATAAAATAGATTAATATTAAACCATATATCAATATTTGGGAGCATGTTAGTTTTTACTAAATGTCGGCGAATATTATTATTATTATTTTATATTATTTATATTCTCATTCAGTATACACATTGTTTTTGGCAAGACTTCTGTTTGGTAACAAAATTACTCCAATGCTTGGCAATCTCTGTTAAAAACTACACTATTTAAATTCTATTACCCACATATTTGCAATGTTTATTACTTTGTTTGCTGCACGTTAATAACCAAAATGGATTAAGTTCCTATTACAATTTTGCCGTGAATATTTGGCATTAGTACCGGGTATAAGTGAATTTGTTGCGGCTTTATTTTTGGGGCCATGCAGCGCCAAATGAAAATGTTAATAATGGAAATGAGCTGCCGCTGGCTGCCTCAAACATTTTCCAGCTTGTTGCATGGTACCAGCATTTGCAGGCAGTTGCCTTTGTGGCAATAGTGGTTGCTCCCCCTTATTGCTTACCCTTCACCGATTTGCATTGACATTGGCCATGTGCCATCAACGTCAGCTCCATCGTCATCATCCAAGTCATCATCATGGGCATCATGGGCATCATGGGCTTGTCGTTTTCAGTTTTCATTTATTTTAGCGTCCTTGCCGGTATGACAACAATGTCCAACCGCTCGACAACAATCGCCTAGTTAATTGAATTGTGTTTACACTACGGCACCAGACAGGAATATGGCCAAACCACAGCCCTAGTGCGCTTGGTATGTTTTTTGGGCTTGCTTTTGTGTTGGGGACGCAACTGCAGTCAGCATAAAAAATAAATAAATAAGTTAAAGTCATTTCACATGTGGCCCAGCCCGAGTGGCGGGCTTTTTCAAACTCGACTTATAGGTATTTCACATGCTAAATTAATTATTAGGCAACTATTCAATTTGTTTTTGGTTTCTTTTATTCGAGAAAGAGGGAAAGAGTGAGAGAGAGAGAGAGAGAATGGTACGAAAAGTTGAAAATCGAATCGAGCTAAAGTCGAAACTCATTTTATAACATTTTTGTTGAAATGCTCATAAAAAGTTTTCACATAAAAGTTGCTCACATGCTGCAAGTTCCATTGATTTTCAGTCGGTTTGAGGGGCGGTTTTTCGCTCCAAAGTTGTTTCCCAATGGATCGGATTGAATGCAAAGCTCGCTAAAGTTCGCAGCTGTTCACTTGCTTATTGTAATAACAATTAACGTTTAATTAGCAGGCAGCTTACCTGACTTCCAAGTTGTTCGGCCACAAACCAAAGCCATAACGACACCAAAAACTCATCTAATCTAATCAACTGACTGCCTCTCGAAGGACATGCTAATCGCCCAGAGTACTCACAGAGTACCATCAACATTTTCCCCCTTTTGGAGAATTGTCTTTTGTTTGTTGCTTTCAATTACAAAGTTCTATTATGTTTACGGCCAAATGTATAGTACATTTTCACAATTCTTATTCGCCAAATAGCTGCCCGACAGACGCTTTACACTTGTTGTTGCTGTTCGTTGCTGCTGTTTCCCTTGATACCCTTAGAAACGGTAAGGCGAAATGCTAATTGCATTGGTGAATGCCTCTTACAGATCCAATAAGTAGTCCATGTAAAATCTTATTCAATAGTTATATTAAATACTTGTGAAATAGTTTGACTGTCTTTTTCTTTACATAAGTCTGTAGGAAATAGCAAAAAACGGATCATTGAATAATATTGATTTCATAAAAACAAAATTAATATTTCAGTTCTTGTAGAAAATACTTAGATGAAAGAAAAATTTGGCCAAATTTCAACAAGGTCTGAAAATTGATTTGTATGACTTTCGTAAAAGGGTGTTTTATCTTCGGTACCCTAGAGATAAATTTTTTTTTTTTTGTTGTTAAGTAATTTTGAGCGCGTGCGAAATGAAAAAGTTTTTGCCAAGCGACTCGACGCTCAGCGCCGATAAAAAGTTTCGATTATAATGGCAAAATGTTCGAGGCTCGAGGCGTGCTTTGAGATGCCGTCGGCACTCTAGGCCTAAAAGTGGCCAAGGGAGCAACAATGGAAAACTAGCCGGCAAGTCTATTAAATCTACTCACAATGATTGCAAGCTTGTATTGATAAACTTTATTTAAATTAAACTCCAGTCGACGTATTTCAAATCGGACTAACAAAGCTGCTTAAGTGTAAATGCTACTGTTAAATAACAGATACATTAGAAATAGTCACTCAAAGGACACATGGCCTCGGATGCATAACAAACAACAGCTGATTACTTAACTCACTCAGCTAACAGCGTGCTTAGCAGCTGTTACTTAACATCACTCAATTTACAGACTACTTGTAGGTTAAAACATAAAGTGCGGTGTGAAGAAAGCGTGAAAGTTT